CCCAAAAAAAATATATATAAAAAAAAAGAAAGAGGGGTTTTTTACTCAAAAACAAAAAAAAAAAATAACTCTCCTATCTCTTTCTCTTTTTTGGTTCAAGAAATAAAAGACAGATTAAACACGTACGCGCGCGCCCGCGTGCGCTCACGCGCTCGCGCGCGATATATATATAAATATATATATATATATATATATATATATATATATATATATATATATATATATATATATATATATATCTCAATAGTGTTGGATATTTTTGGTTCCTTACAGCTGGAACAAGTTTATGGGAACAAGGAGGGTCGAGCCTGGAAATCCATATCCCACCACAATCCACAACTTAACTTACTGCTGTAATTTCACTTCCATTTTGATTTAATTTGTCTGAAATCTAACAACTTCTTTTTATTAATGGAAAGACCTTTTATATAAGTGCGTGTCGGTTTGAAATGTTATTGGACTTAACCAGATGTAACACCTAATTGTTTAGTTAATCATAATTTATCTTACCAGCCATACGAGCTCTTAGGTTAGTAAATAATATATCAATTTAATGGGTAAACTGCTTAAATCCCCTGTGTTACGGAAAACTTGCACAAAATTCCCCTATGTTATTTATTTATTTAAAAAATGAATTATTTTTTTCAAATTAATATAATACGTACGTCCCGCTCATTTTCAAATATTATATTTTTTTGTATTATTTCTTTTTTACAACTATAAATTCGTATACAAGAGACGTACAGGGCCGAGTCTTCCAAATTCATCGTCGACACCAACGGCACCAAAAATAGAACCTTTTTAAATTTTAGGGAGTCAACTGAATTATTTATTTATTTGGCAGGGGCTAAAACTGGAAACATTCCTAAGTTAAAGGACCAATTTGTAATTTTGCCTATACAGAACTAACAAATGTTTTTTGATAATTGTACTTACGTGCGTCTCACTTATCTAATTACTTGTATCTAAGGCATTTCTTTCATAGAGCTCTTAAAACTACTATCTGCCCACCACGTTCAAATATTAAATTTACTTAAATTATAAAAATCAGCTTGATTGAATTATACTAGAAAATTAGTTGGTCTATTTATATCTAGAAACCATTCCATAAACACACATTTACACACTCTATAAGAAAAACCCGTTAGCGATATCGATCATGGCGGATGCTATCATTTCCGTTGTGCTGAATCGTCTTGCAGCTCTCATGCAAGAGCAGATTCGAAGCCATGTGAATTTGGTGCGCGGTGTTGAAAAAGAGGTTGAGAGTCTTTCCGAGGAGTTGAACACGGTTAAAAATGTGTTGGAAGATGCAGAGAAGAAAGGGTGCAAGGACAAAAGCGTCAAAGATTGGCTGACGAGGCTCGAAAACACGTCTTACGAAATGGACGACGTGTTGGACGAGTGGAACTACTCCATTCTCAAATTTCAGATCGAACAATCTGATGATTTTGTTCCTCCTAAGAAAAAGGTATGGTCCTTCATCCCAACTTCGTGTATGTGTTTCAAGAATGTTTTTATTCGCCATGATATTGCCTTGAAAATAAAAGAAGTCAAAGCACGACTCGATTTAATCTTGGCGGAGAAAGATCGATATGGTTTTGTGATCTCTCAACCTATTGATCATTCTCATGAATCATGGCGAGTTCAGTCTACGTCTTTGGTCGATTTAGAGGAAATCTGTGGTCGGGAATTAGAGACAGAAAATCTGGTGAGCAAACTTTTGGTTGAAGGTGGTAGTGGAAAAGAATTAGGTATCCACGTTGTCTCTGTAGTGGGTGCGGGTGGTCTTGGGAAGACAACTCTTGCTAAACTAGCTTATAACGATATTCGAGTGAAAGTTTGTTTTGGATTAAAAATTTGGATATGTGTTTCAGACACTTTTGATCAGGTTGGAATTGCAAATGAAATTATAGAGGGGACGGGAGGGAGTAAACCAAAGACAGATCAATTGGAAATGGTACTACAATGTCTAAAAGAGACTATTTCAGGGAAAAAGTTTCTTCTTGTCCTTGATGATGTTTGGACTGAAGACGATACCAAGTGGGAACCCCTAAAAAACGCTCTCAAATGTGGTGGAGCGGGTAGTAAAATTTTGGTGACAACTAGAAATGAAAGGGTTGCAATAATGATGGGTACCGTTAAGAATGAGATCCACTATTTAGGATATCTCTCCCACGAAAAGTGTTGGTTAGTATTATGCCGGATAGCCCTTTCTAGAAAGAATAAGGAGGAATGTGAAAATTTCGAAAACATAGGTAAGGAGATAGCTAAGAAGTGCAAGGGATTGCCACTTGCAGCAAAGACTTTGGGAAGTCTTTTGCGTTTTAAGAATACCTTGGAAGAGTGGACAAATATATTGGATAGTGAAGTATGGGAGTTGGAGAAAGTAAAACTCGATCTGTTCTCCCACTTGCTTCTGAGTTACAATGAATTGTCCCCAGCACTTAAGCGGTGCTTCTCATATTGTGCTGTTTTTCCTAAAGATACCAAAATTAATGTGGAGAGTCTAATAACAAAATGGATGGCAATGGGTTACTTAGGATCCAATGAGAATAATGTTGGTGATTGGAAACTTAGAGGGAGGGAGTACTTTAATAAGTTAGCGATGTGTTCTCTGTTTCAAGAGTTTGAAAAATGTCCTGGTCATGATTATGAACATATAAAATCATTTAAGATGCATGACATAATACATGATTTTGCTCAATTCCTCAGGAAGAATGGTGGCGGATTAATGAAGAAAATAAGTTGCCAAAGATGTAGCCCTTTGTTAGTTTCCCACGTCAAAGAATACCGTAGCTTATTTCACTATAAAAACTTTCGTAATCCACATCTTTGTGATTGCCTCACAAGTGTGAGGTTGCTAAGCCTAAGGTATTGTGGCTTGCACTTCATTCCAAAAGAAATAGAAAAGTTGATTCACTTGAGGTGGTTGGACTTAGGTAGTAATGAATTTCCCGACGAGGATCTTAAGAGTATTTGTAAGCTTTATAGCTTACAATTTCTCTGGGTGGACCACTGTGAGGTACTAGAGATTCCACACGAAATTGGGAATTTGATTCACTTGAAGCACCTCGATTTGAGTTGGAACAAACTTCAGAAGGAGTTGCCGGAGAGCCTATGCGGTTTGATTGAATTAGAGAGCTTGAATGTCTATTCATGCGGGTATCTTATCGGACTTCCCAAAGGGATCCACAGGCTCAAAAACCTCAAACACCTCTATAATGATGTTACTCGTTCTGTAAGGGAAATTCCTCAAGGACTTGCCCAGTTAACCAACCTTGTCACAGTGAGTCGATTATATTGCGAAGGAAGAGATGGGAGCAAGTTGGGATGGTTGAAGAATTTAAACCGACTCAGCGGGTCTCTAAAATTGAGGATAGAAATAAGTAGTGGTGATCCAGAAGAAGAGGCGGTGGTGGTGGAGGATGCTCGTGAAGCGGAGTTAAGGAAAAAAATGCACATTCAAGAACTCCAAATATCTTTTTGTGGATCTATTCGTGAAGGGAGAGATCAGTCGGTGTGGATGGATATAATAAATGCTCTTGAGCCACACCCGAACCTGAAAAATCTGTGTATTTGGGACTATAAGGGCTCTCGACTTCCTGGATGGATCGAGTCGCCCCTCAACCAACTAAGATCTATCTTCCTCGACGGATGTGAATACATTTCGTCGCTGCCGGCTCTGGGTAAACTACCGTGTCTCGAGAGTTTTGTGATGCAGAGCAATTGTCGATTGCAATTTATTGGACGGGAATTCCTGGGAATAGAAACCAGAGGGGATCAGAATGTTGAAGCTTCTTCAACGGAGACTGTGAGCATTAATACTATCGGGTTTCCCAAGTTGCAGGAACTCGCAATTTGCGACTGTTCCGAATGGAAGGAGTGGGAGGACATCACGCGAGAAATTTTTTTTGTTGCCATCACGTTAATGCCTTGCCTGACGAAGTTGGCTATCAGAAACTGCGATGGCTTGACGGATCGGAGCTGCCACATCGTCTCCTGCGGAAAGTGACTTCGTTGAAGGTGTTTGATATTTCTGGTTCGACACAGCTGCAACAAGTTTATGGGGACAAGGATGGTGAAGCCTGGAAATCCATATCCCACCACAATCCACACCTTCACCTCCAACATGATTAGTTGTGACTTGTGTGTAATTTAACTTTCATTCTCTTCGATTATCACAGAATATAGAATCCAATTTCAGATATGTAAATCATAAACAGTAAATATAATCGTCGTTCATTTACTCAAAATTGAATTTGGCATCTCCTGTATTTTTCCAACCGTATGACCTTATTAAGTTAGGGTACTTACTCTCTCTCTGCTTTTCAGTTTGTAGCATCCTCCAATTTTCTGTTCAGCCTGCATCAAACAATTGAGATGTACAACAAACTCAGTCTCCATCAAAGAGAATTACACTTTTTATTTTTATCTGCAAAAAACAAATGCTAACTTACCACACCATGACAAAGGTAATCGCGGTCACGAGCACACGTGGCTGGATTACACGACACATAGATAATTCGTTCCGCTTTTAATTTCAACAAAAACTTGATTAACTTCATGTGCATGCCCGGCCGATTAGGATCTTCGTCAATTTTAAATGTTACAAAACACACACACACACGTTGCGCGTAAAAAAACTGCAGAGGGAAATAGAATCTAGCAAGATTATATATATTAACCTGTGATGACAAGATCTGGCTTGGGGAAATATTCTCCAAAATTCTCCCCGATTTTATTAAGGTCCCCTTGGACAAATGAATGTGGCATTGGATATGCCATTAATATCCGCGTTACGACGCGCATCTGATATGGCTTGATCCACTATCTCAAAACCATACACACAGGGGCGTACCCAAGCTTGTGGCTGGGGTGGCCCCATTACCCCTATATTTCAGCCCCCAAGAAAACCCCCTGGGTCCGCCCCTGCATAAACATGTTTTGCCCTAAGAATATGGAATAATTCGGAAAAAAAAGAAGAAAAAAAAACAGAATTAGCTAAAAATAAACTATGGGAGAACTATGGGAGTGAATAACAGAGTAAGCTGGGGAAAATTACCTTTTTGCAAGTGTTAACCCGATTGTCCTAGTCCCACAAAAGAGATCTAGAACTATTTCTGATCCGTCTCCTTTCAGAAAAGAGCTTTCCTCTGTTAGTTTATACAAAATCTCTGCCTGCATGGTACAACTATTTACATATAGGCCTCAATTACTAAAAGAAAAATTTACAACTCAAAACGAAAATCAAGCAAGTAGGGAAGCTCGGCTTCAGTTACCTAGTATCTTAACAGTATACGACACATAGAAATATAGAAGCAAAAATAGTGATGTGTTTTAGCTATAATCTACTTGTTGCATACTTGGTGTGTGTTAGTCTGGTCACTGGTGTGTGTTGGTCTGGAAGAAAGAGTTGGCTGAAATTTGGAACTTTAATCCTCGAAGGCTCTCTGTAATAGTTGGTTTACCAAAGAGTGTATACTCCACCTCCCCGACGGATGTGTTTCCCACGAACGAGAATTCCTTGGAACAACAACAACAACAACAACAACAACAGCAGCAGGTATTCTTAATAAAGAAGAATCTTCGTCGAAGACTTGTGCGAATGGGTTTCCCAAGCTGCATGCACTGAAATTCTACAACTGCTCTAAGTGGAAGGAGTGGGAGGACATTACGCCTGAAGACGAAGAAGAAGAATATTCCGGTGGTGTCACGTTTATGCCTTGTCTGGCGGAGTTGACTATCGTAAACTGCAAAGGTTTGGCGGAGCTGCCACATCGCCTCCTGCGAAAGGCAGCGTCGTCGTTAAAGGTGTTGGATATTTCTGGTTCCACACAGTTGGAACAAGTTTATGGGAACAAGGAGGGTCGAGCCTGGAAATCCATATCCCACCACAATCCACAACTTAACTTACTGGTGTAATTTCACTTCCATTTTGAGTTAATTTGACTGAAATCTAACAACTTCTTTTTTATTGGAAAGGGCTTTTATACAAGTGTGTGTCGGTTTGAAATGCTATTGGACTTAACCAGATGTAACACCTATTTTTTTAGTTAATCATAATTTATCTTACCAATCACACGAGCTCTTAGGTTAGTAAGGAATATATCAATTTAATGGGTAAACTGCTTAAACCCCCTGTGTTACGGAAAACTTGCACAAAATTCCCCTGTGTTATTTATTTATTTAAAAAATGAATTATTTTTTTCAAATTAATATAATACGTACGTCCCGCTCATTTTCAAATATTATTGTATTATTTCTTTTTTACAACTATAAATTCGTATACAAGAGACGTACAGGGCCGAGTCTTCCAAATTCATCGTCGACACCAACGGCACCAAAAATAGAACCTTTTTAAATTTTAGGGAGTCAACTGAATTATTTATTTATTTGGCAGGGGCTAAAACTGGAAACATTCCTAAGTTAAAGGACCAATTTGTAATTTTGCCTATACAGAACTAACAAATGTTTTTTGATAATTGATTTGTACTTACGTGCGTCTCACTTATCTAATTACTTATATATGAGGCATTTCTTCATAGAGCTCTTAAAACTACTATCTGCCCACCACGTTCAAATATTAGTTGACATGAATTATAAAAATCAGGTTGAATGAATTTAACTAGAAAATTAGTGGGCCTATTTATATCTCGAGCTTGAATTTTTATCCATCAATACGATCGTCAAGAAACAATCCCATAAACACACTCTATAAGAAAATTAGTTAGCGATATATCGACTATGGCGGACGCTATCATTTCCGTTGTACTGAATCGTCTTGCAGCTCTCATGCAAGAGCAGATTCGAAGCCATGTGAATTTGGTGCGCGGTGTTGACAAAGAGGTTGAGAGTCTTTCCGAGGAGTTGAACACTGTTAGAAATGTGTTGGAAGATGCGGAGAAGAAAGGGTGCAAGGACAAAAGCGTCAAAGATTGGCTGACGAGGCTCGAAAACACGTCTTACGAAATGGACGACGTGTTGGACGAGTGGAACTACTCCATTCTCAAATTTCGGATCGAACAATCTGATGATTTTGTTCCTCCTAATAAGAAAAAGGTATGGTCCTTCATCCCAACTTCGTGTATGTGTTTCAAGAATGTTTTTATTCGCCATGATATTGCCTTGAAAATAAAAGAAGTCAAAGCACGACTAGATCTAATCTTGGCGGAGAAAGATCGATATGGTTTTGTGATCTCTCAACCTATTGATCAATCTCGTGAACCATGGCGAGTTCAGTCTACTTCTTTGGTCGATTTAGAGGAAGTTTGTGGTCGGGAATTAGAGAGAGAAAATCTGGTGAGCAAACTTTTGGTTGAAGGTGGTAGTGGAAAAGAATTAGGTATCCACCTTGTCTCTGTAGTGGGTGCAGGCGGGATTGGGAAGACAACTCTTGCGAAACTAGCTTATAACGATAGTCAAGTAAACAGGTTTTTTCAGTTAAAAATTTGGATATGTGTTTCAGAGACTTTCGATGAGGTTGTAATTGCCAATGAAATTATTGAGAGAGCGGGAGGAAGTAAACCAAATACCAAGCAATTGGAAATGGTACTACAATGTCTAAAAGATACTATTTCAGGGAAGAAGTTTCTTCTTGTCCTGGATGATGTTTGGACAGAAGACGATACCAAGTGGGAATCCCTCAGAAATTGTCTCAAATATGGTGGTGTGGGTAGTAAAATTTTGGTGACAACTAGAAATCAAAAGGTCGCAATAGTGATGGGTACGGTTAAGAATGACATCCACCAATTAGGACATCTCTCCCACGAACATTGTTGGTTGTTATTAGGTCGGATAGCACTTTCTAGAAAGAATAAGGAGGAACATGAAAAATTCGAGAACATAGGTCAGGAGATAGCCAAAAAGTGCAAGGGATTGCCACTTGCGGCAAAGACGTTGGGAAGTCTTTTGCGTTTTAAGAATAGTTTGGAAGAGTGGGAGAGTGTTTTGAATAGTGAAATATGGGAATTGGAGGAAGTAGAAGTTGACCTCTTCCCCCATTTGCTTTTGAGTTACAACGAATTGTCCCCAACACTTAAGCGTTGCTTCTCATACTGTGCCGTCTTTTCTAAAGATACCGAAATTAATTTGAACATTCTGATAACAAAATGGATGGCACTAGGTTACCTTGGATCGCACGGTGACTGGAAACTTAGAGGAAGAGAGTACTTTAATAAATTAGCAATGCGTTCTCTATTTCAAGACTTTAGGGAAGGTGGCTTAGATGAGCAGATGATAACTTTTAAGATGCATGATATAGTACATGACTTTGCTCAATTCCTTAAGAAGAATGTCGGATCTAGAATTAAGAAAACAACTTGCCAAACTTGTAAGCCTTTTTTAGTTTCCAAAGTCGAACAATACCGTAGCTTATTTCACTACTATGCACTTGATCCGCATCTTTGTGATCGCCTCACTAGTTTGAGGTTGCTGAAGTTAAGAAAATGTAGCTTGGAAGGTATCCCGAAAGAAATAGAAAAGTTGATTCACTTGAGGTGGTTGGACTTGGGTTGTAATGAAATTCCGAACCAAGATTTCAAGACCATTTGCAAGCTTTACAACTTGCAATTTCTTTGGGTGGACGCATGCGGGCTAGAAGAGATTCCGTGGGAAATTGGGAATTTGGTTCACTTGATACACTTGGATTTGGGCGATAATAATTTGTATTTGGATGACCTGGAGGCCATTTGTAAGATGTATAACTTGCAATATCTGAATGTCGAAATGTGCAAGCTACTAGAGATTTCAGATGAAATTGGGAATTTGATTCACTTGAAAACCCTGAACTTGGGCTATAACAATTCTTTAGAAGTGTTGCCGGAGAGCCTGTGCAATTTGCGCGAATTAGAAAGCTTAAATATCACTTCATGCAAGAGTCTTGTTCGACTTCCCCGAGGGATCCACACGCTCGTAAACCTCAAACACCTCTATAATAGGAATACTACTCGCCTGGTGCAATATCACGAATGACTAGCTAGCACAGCTAACGAGCGCCCTCGTCACATTGAAATAATTCCGTTCTGGTCGTGGAATGTATTAGAATTTAAACCAACTTAGCGGGTCCCTCAAGTTGATATATAGTCGAAACAGGTACAAACAGATGGGAGCAAGTTGGAAGAAGAAGAAGAAGAAGAAGAATATTCTGTTGCTGTCAAGTTGATGCCTTATCTGGCCGTTTTGACTATCGACGAATGCAATGGATTGACGGAGCTACCACAACGCCTTCTACGAAAAGGTGTCGTTGGTTTCGTTGAAATTAGAGGTTCCGAACAGCTAATAAAAGCCATGAAATCAATTTCACGCCACAATGCAGACCTTAGGCTCGTCCTATGATTATTTTTGTGTAATTCTTGAGTTATCATTTTCATTTTTCTTTTTTTTCATTTTTTTGGTACTACAGTATGAATTATTTCCATTACTGTAGCTTTAATAACTATATATGCTAGTAATTCTTGTCGATCTTGACTAGAGGTGAAAATCAGAAATTCAACATTTTGTCCAAATTTGAACTTTTCAAAAGTAAAAAGTTAATTCTGAATCCAAAAATTCTAAAAACAAAATATTATAATTAGAATTTCAAAAATAGAAAGGAAAGGGTAATTCCAAAGTCGAAGATCAAAATTGGCAACACTAGTAAATGAGAAAAGACGAAGACTATGGCTAATTATTTGTTTACAACCATTAGGGGAGCCAGGATTTAAGGTCTGGGGCTCGATTGCATTAAATTTTTTTATAAAGGGTTGGTAATACTATTATACACGATTTCTTTTAAATCCTTATATAGAAGGGCAAATGACAAAGAGGGACATGACAAGGGACTTAAATGCAAATTGATCCACATAAAAAACAGTATTTCAAATAAAACCATCTCCATGTCTTTAGTCTAAAATACCCTCCATAATATTTTTTTTTATCAATTCATTCATTATACTCTAACTTCCTCAGTATTACACATTGACCCTGGATTTAAACAAATATATCACATTAACCCCCATTTTAATAATTTTTTGAAAAAATAATTTTTTTTCATAAAATAATTTTTTTTTTCTGATTTTTTTTTTCCGGCCATATTCCGGTGTTGACCTTTTACTTTTTTTTGAAAACACTTTTTTTCTGAATTTTTTTTTCCGTCCGGTCTCCGGCGTTGACCTTTTTCTTTTATTTTTTTTTTCTTAGAAAAAATTAGTTTAATTAATATTACTGTCTTGGCTACTAAATTAATGTCTCATACAGTAATATTACTGTTTGGGACAGTAATATTATGAATATTACTTTTTCGAACAGTAATATTACTAATATTACTGTCTCAAACAGTAATATCATTGCATGAGACAATAATATTATGGTCGGAGACACTAATATTACGGCCGAAGACAACAAAATTGCAGGCCAAGACGATAAAATTAATAAATACAGTAAAATTATTGTCTCATATAGTTAAATTACTGTTTCAAATAGTTAAATTACTGCTGGAGACAATAATTTAGCAGCCAAGACAGTAATATTAATTAAAATAATGTTTTTAAGAAAAAACAAAATTTCAGAAAAATAAAATAGAAAAAAGGTCAATTAGCGGTTAAATTACTGTCCTGGCAGTTAAATAACTGCTGAAGATAGTAATTTAGCAGCCAAGACAGTAATATTAATTAAAATATTTTTTTAAGAAAAAAAAAAGTCAACGCCAGAGACCCCGCGGTGAACAGCGGTTGACCTATCAGAAAAAAAAAATTCAGAAAAAAAAAAAGTCAACGCCGGAGTGTAAATCATGAAATTGGTTAATTGGTAAAATTGGACTAAATTGGAGTGTAAATCATGAAATTGGAGTTGAATTGAGTTTCAAGAAAGCGGGATAATTTTGATATATATAAAATGATTTTCCTTTATTGCAAATAAGTTTGAATGAGTTGAAAATATTTGAAAGACTAAAAAGTTAGATGTCCATTTTTTAAGTAAATAAATGCCCTTGTCATTGGCCTATTTGATATTAATCCTATATACAATAACAGGAGTTTGAGTAATGTTTGGGGGCCATAGCCCCTGGCCCTATACTCAACTCCGCCAGCAACCTCTAAAATAGATTATACTCCAGAAATGTAAATTAAAATTCCATAATTTGTTTTCCGTTTTTAATTTCATTTTGATCAATAATATGGATTAATTATACTCCAAAATTTCGACCAAAATGAGGTATACACCTCAAATTTTTTTCCCACACGATTGTGCGTAATTGGGGTTTCCTCATCAGCTCGACGGTATGCCATCAGATCAATTATTATACATCTAATCAATATTTTAACAGGGTTATATGCCCGGGTGATTGTTAACCATAGATCTTCACATAATCACACACATCTATAAGTATGTGTACTTAGTGGATGATTATTTAACCAGATTTACGATTATCAATCCTCTGGTGTAGCATCCAAGTTCCAACTCCCCTTGTAGTTTCTCGTTGAACTTTTGATAAGTGTTCGTTTTGCACAACTTTTACTTATCTAATCTTCGTGTTTTGGTCTTCATTCGTCCGAGTTTTCGGCTTTATTTGTATATATTATGTTGTTTTTGTTTTATTTATATTTTAGGAAAGAGAAGCTATTTTTGCCGATTCGAAACGATTTTGGAAGCGAAGCCGAGAACCAAACCAAACACGTGCAAAAGTGCATTCTCGCGGATTGTGGCAGTGTTTGGTATTTCAAGCATAACTTTTGCATACGACCTCCGATTGGGCTGATTCAAGTGGATTTCGAAAGCTAACTTCAAGGGCTACAACTTTTGTGAAATGCACAATTGTCGAATTCGGGCTGAAAAAGGGTGAAAAAAGTGTTTGAAGTTGATGCAGAGGCCAGATCGCGATCCAGAATCACCGGATCGCGATCTGGTGGCAAATTCCAGTAGCAGCGAAAAGTTGGGGCAGATCGCGATCCACACTTCCTGGATCGCGATCTGGGAAGGCGGTGCGCAGTTTTCGAGGTTGCCAGATCGCGATCCAAGAAGCCCAGATCGCGATCTGGGCACAGAAATCGAGACTAGATATTTTTCTTTGATTTCTCACTATAAATAGAAGGTCTCTTTTTCATTTTTCAACATCTCGACAATATCTCGATTATCTTCTCGACTTCTTCTTCGGTTTTTCTTCGGTTCTCGCCAGTTCTTCGCGGAAAGCTTCGACGAGGGTTTCGACTCGGGTTTTTCATAAGCTTTTCTTTACGTTTAGTTTATGATTTCTCGTGTTCTTCATTTTGATGCTATGTTTGTAATGTACTAAGCATTTTCTTTTAGGGAAATGAAACCTTGTATATATTGATTTTGATTTCCAGATCTGTGATCTATTTGTCGTTCTTTGATTCTGTTTATGTTTTCCTGTATTAAATGCTTTCGATTGTTTGGCCAACAGTTGAATTGATTCTAAATGGGAATGAACTCGAGAGAGGATTTCTCGTTTGATTTTAGGAAAACATAGCTCGGGTTGTGGAAACGGAGACGTGATGCACCTCGGGTAGCCCTTAAGGACTTGACCTAAATGCTCTCTTAATATCAGGTTCTGAACGGAGACGTCGGACCTGTGGGTAGACTCTAACTACACTGGAGACGGGGGTTAGGGTACTTTAGTGTCTGGGTTAGCGAACATAGAATTGACATTAGATTCGGATTTGTAGATCTTTATCGATAGTACACTGGTGGATTTTACCCTAGAAGCCATCACACGTCGGAATTCCTCGATTATACTGGCGGACCCTTGTTTTTATTTTTGTTTCCTTTTTGCTTCATTTCATCCCCCATTATTTCCTTCGTCTAGATAGAGTTTAGGATAGTATAATTACGGTACTTGGTAGATTTAGGAACTTAATTCCCTATGGATCGATATCTGGAATTCACTATTCTACAAAACGCGATACTGTACACTTGCGGTTATTTATACGTAGGTTTTACGCGTATCAAGTTTTTGGCGCCGTTGCCGGGGAATTAGTTAATCTTGAATTTACTAATATCGTTACCAACTATCCTTGCTTTACTTTAGACATTTTTTCTTTTATTTCATTTTTTTCATTTTGATTTATTTTATTTATTTTCACAGATTTGTATACATTGATGGCCTTGATTTATGATCTTTCTCTTAGCGAGATTCAATCCAGAGCTGATTACATTCAACAAGAGTTGGAGGATATTGAAAGACATCGAAGGTTGAACCCAGAAAATGGAATTGCACAGACAAATGAGCACTTGTGCTATTTACAAGACGAACTCCACTTTCTGGCAAATATTTTCGAAAATTTTCAGAGATGTCACATTCACAAACCACATCCGACCATCCTATATGAAGACAACGAGGTATTTACAGATTTTCGTATGAACGACGAGGTTGAGCACCTTGAGGGAATTATTCATCCCAGTTCTGTAGATACTTTTGTGTGTGATGAGAGTGGGATGAAGATGATGGTAGAGGAACTTGAAGAACGAAATCCTATCCACATTGCTACTCCGGATTTGAGTGTGAGCGAGGAGACGAGTTTCAGATTTGAGGTAGAGCTTACTCCAAAGCTCGAATATCTTGTGTACGGGTTTGAGAGATCGGTAGGCAAGCAACCCATCCTAGTCTCCTACCGACTGATTTCCCAAGCAAACGAAAAGTACCATGGGTTGGGATGGTCATTACAAGATTGCAATCTAATCCATGATATGATTGCAAAGTATGTATCAAGACTGATGGATGGATGCGCAATCTACAAGGCTTTGGATTGGACATAATCCGTCCAAATTGTGTCGAGCCGTCGACAGTAAAACAGGCGCTGGATGAGAGGCAAACCATTATTTATTTTTCGTCATTTATTTTGTTAGTTTTCTTTTATTTTTGTATTTTTTGGTTTAAAGCTAGATTTCACCCATTTTTCTTGATTTTTGCCGGTATCTCGTCCCCAAGGAAAGAAGAGTAAGAAGTCGGGAAGTCTAGACAACTCCGGCAAGTCGCCCTCGGTGCCAAAATCCACAGCACCCCGTGCAACCAAAGAACACTTTCGCAACCGTAGAACACTGATCAATCTGCGGCAAGACTGTTCAGGGCGTATTTCTTTCTCATATCTTTTATTTTTCGCATTGAGGGCAATGCATGATTTAAGTTTGGGGGTGAGTTTAGCTTATTTTTCTTTTTGGTCTTTTGCATGCATATCATATAATTTAGTTTCATTTATGTACTTCAATTTCCGTAATTGTGTTATGTTTGTCACATGCATTTCATTTAGGATCGAGTGTAAGTTGCATTTCCGGATTCTATTGAAGCAAAGCAATTAATGAATTAGTAGATGGGCTAGTTGATTTTAAAATTGAAATTATGGATAACCGGCTAATTATAGATGTACCTTCCGACTGCGTTTTTGCAACTTGTGTGGATAGCCTTTCGAATCCTTTCCGATTAAGCTTGAGCGCACTTTTCTGAGGGGTATAATAGTCTGAGGTTTGGGGGGCGAGTTAGAATTGAATTATGTGTTCACGATTTCCAGTTGTTGGCTAAAAGTTCTATCAATGGTCTTTACGTTTTTATTTTATGTTTGATGTTACAAAAAAAAAAAAAAAAAAAAAGAGAAAAATAATAATTTGTGATATTGTTGTGATTCACGCTCTGATTTCCCCGCCTTTCTGACTCGAGCTTAACCCGTTGGGTGCACCTCGTCGCCTAAGTCTCTCGAGCTGTCGAGCTTGGGGGTTTCTTGGACTAAAGTTCGATAAATGGGTCAGGGAGATAACACAGTGGTGTCGAGCCTTGCACGAGTCACGATTATGCCCGTTTCAAAAAAAATGAAAAAAGGAAAAAGTTGTGATGAAAATCACCAAAAATATTGTAGTTGTCATTTCTTTTATTTGAATAAATAGACCTACTTATGCCCAACTCGAGTTTTTGAATTCCTGAATCAAAACTTACTTTTCACCCACATTTCTACTCAAAACCCTCGATAATTGCGTTTATTGTTTAATTACGGATTCTTGAGTCTATCTTTCATTTTGGTGTAGAAACAACTAATTGCGTCGGTAAGAAAGTCGAATACCTTAAGCCGTATGCCATTCTAAGATTTTAGGTTATCTAGCTCGTTTCATCTTTGGAATTAATTGCAATGCTTTGACCAATCCGGTAACTTTGTGGGTGTGTTGTCTGAAAACCCTCACGAGACACAACTCGTCCTTTGGGGGTACCCAGGGGTTCAAAGGCTTGTTGCATACGCTAAATGCAATCGTGATTCCCTACGTTAGTGGCCTAGGTTTAGTTTTTCTTTCGTTTGTCATTTTTGTTTTTGTGTCGTAGTTTTGTTTTGATTTACTCGGGACGAGTAAAGATCTAAGTTTGAGGGTGTGATAAGTGTTCGTTTTGCACAACTTTTACTTATCTAATCTTCGTGTTTTGGTCTTCATTCGTCCGAGTTTTCGGCTTTATTTGTATATATTATGTTGTTTTTGTTTTATTTATATTTTAGGAAAGAGAAGCTATTTTTGCCGATTCGAAACGATTTTGGAAGCGAAGCCGAGAACCAAACCAAACACGTGCAAAAGTGCATTCTCGCGGATTGTGGCAGTGTTTGGTATTTCAAGCATAACTTTTGCATACGACCTCCGATTGGGCTGATTCAAGTGGATTTCGAAAGCTAACTTCAAGGGCTACAACTTGTGTGAAATGCACAATTGTCGAATTCGGGCTGAAAAAGGGTGAAAAAAGTGTTTGAAGTTGATGCAGAGGCCAGATCGCGATCCAGAATCACCGGATCGCGATCTGGTGGCAAATTCCAGTAGCAGCGAAAAGTTGGGGCAGATCGCGATCCGCACTTCCTGGATCGCGATCTGGGAAGGCGGTGCGCAGTTTTCGAGGTTGCCAGATCGCGATCCAAGAAGCCCAGATCGCGATCTGGGCACAGAAATCGAGACTAGATATTTTTCTTTGATTTCTCACTATAAATAGAAGGTCTCTTTTTCATTTTTCAACATCTCGACAATATCTCGATTATCTTCTCGACTTCTTCTTCGGTTTTTCTTCGGTTCTCGCCAGTTCTTCGCGGAAAGCTTCGACGAGGGTTTCGACTCGGGTTTTTCATAAGCTTTTCTTTACGTTTAGTTTATGATTTCTCGTGTTCTTCATTTTGATGCTATGTTTGTAATGAACTAAGCATTTTCTTTTAGGGAAATGAAACCTTGTATATATTGATTTTGATTTCCAGATCTGTGATCTATTTGTCGTTCTTTGATTCTGTTTATGTTTTCCTGTATTAAATGCTTTCGATTGTTTGGCCAACAGTTGAATTGATTCTAAATGGGAATGAACTCGAGAGAGGATTTCTCGTTTGATTTTAGGAAAACATAGCTCGGGTTGTGGAAACGGAGACGTGATGCACCTCGGGTAGCCCTTAAGGACTTGACCTAAATGCTCTCTTAATATCAGGTTCTGAACGGAGACGTCGGACCTGTGGGTAGACTCTAACTACACTGGAGACGGGGGTTAGGGTACTTTAGTGTCTGGGTTAGCGAACATAGAATTGACATTAGATTCGGATTTGTAGATCTTTATCGATAGTACACTGGTGGATTTTACCCTAGAAGCCATCACACGTCGGAATTCCTCGATTATACTGGCGGACCCTTGTTTTTATTTTTGTTTCCTTTTTGCTTCATTTCATCCCCCATTATTTCCTTCGTCTAGATAGAGTTTAGGATAGTATAATTACGGTACTTGGTAGATTTAGGAACTTAATTCCCTGTGGATCGATATCTGGAATTCACTATTCTACAAAACGCGATACTGTACACTTGCGGTTATTTATACGTAGGTTTTACGCGTATCAACTTTCACATCAGGAAAATTAGCTAATAATCTCCAAGTATGAACAATCATTAATTAGAAGGATATGCTTAATTATCTTCAGTCAAGATTATAGCAATTTTCATTTGCTAAAAGTCGCTTAATATTGTTTTCTAAAATATGTTGTAACTACTCTAACCTTGATTTTTCATCACTAATGATTAATGTGAACTAATTTTTTTTCTTTTACATTTTTTTTTTGTTTAAGCCAAACAACGAAATACGTAATCATCAAATTTGTTTATGAGCTATCATATTTAATTGATTCAATATAATTTGTTTCTTTTCTTGATTCGCCAAAATTTCTAATACTTTCAAATATGTTTCAGGCGTAGAGACGATTCTGCTCCATCGAAGAATTTTTCAAAGTCGTTTTTTTTTTTAGAGAATGGGATTGATAACTGTTCCCGTTTATACAACTATTATTACGTTGATTTTGTTAACGAATACTTTGATTATCAAGAGTAGGTAGTTCATTCAATTATTTGTTGGACAAATTGGAAGTTCGAACAAATGGCCCCTTACCGCGTTATCTAGAAGAAAAGAAATGGTCAAAACGCGTTTTCTACCAAGAGCGGTAGTTGGAGCCCGAAAGTTGAAATTGTTTATATATATATTCGAACCTGTTCCCCTTCATAAATTGATAACAATGGGGAAACAAGTGGTTAGCAGCCATATATATTTTAATGAATAGTTTATGCATTTTGGATTAAACTAGAGTAGTTAGTAGTTCGTCTATTTATATCGAGAGAAATTTTATCCGAAAGAGGAGAGCACAAACACGTAAGTATTTATACATAATAAGATAAGTGGTGTGAGCGATCATGGTGGATGTTATCGTTTCCGGAGTGGCTGCGCGGCTTACGGATCTCATAGCGAAGCAAATTCGAAATAGAGTGTATTTGGTGAGAGGCGTTCAGAGCGATATTCAAAATCTTTCCGGCGAGCTCAAAAGACTAGGAAACACGTTGGACGATGCAGAGAGGAGAGAATTCAAGGACAAGAGCGTCAAAGATTGGTTGAGGAAGCTAGAAGACGCGTCTTACGAAATGGACGATGTGTTGGACGAATGGAACATTTCCATTGTCAAACTTCAGCAGAAGAAGGTAGGGTCCTTCATCCCGTCTCCAAGTCTAGTTTGCAACAACTTTTATTTTCGTCACAATTTCGCCTTGAAAATAATAGAAGTGAAAAAACGACTCGATCTGATTTTCATGGAGAGAGATCGGTTCGATTTTGTGGCCTCTTACCCTATTCATGCCTCTCGCGAACCGCGGCTAAGTCAAACTACTTCTTTGATTGACTTAGCGAAAGTTTGCGGCCGCGAGTCTGAAAATGAAAACCTGGTAGACAAACTTATGAGTGTAGGTGGTAGCAGAGACGAATTAGACGTATGTGTCCTCTCCATAGTGGGCCCGGGGGGTATTGGAAAGACAACTCTTGCTAAACTAGCTTATAATGATAATCGAGTAAAAAATTGCTTTCAACTAAGAATTTGGATATGTGTTTCACGTTCTTTTGATGAGGTTGGAATAGCGAATGAAATTATTTTGAGGGCAGGGGGAAGTAAACCAAATACAAACCAATTAGATATGCTATTACGTTGTCTAAAAGAGTTAATTTCCGGAAAGAAGTTTCTTCTTGTCCTGGATGATGTTTGGATAGAAGATAATACCAAGTGGGAACCTCTAAAAAACTCTCTCAAACAACGTGACGGGGTGGGTAGTAAGATTTTGGTGACAACCAGAAATCAAAGTGTTGCTGTAATGATGGGTAGTGTTAAGAATGAGATCCACCATGTAGGAAGTCTGTCAGACGATGAGTGTTGGTTGTTATTAAGTGAGATAGCCCTTTCTGGAAAGAACGAGGAGGAATGTAAAAAATTTCATAACATAGGTAAGAATATTGCTAAGAAGTGCAAGGGATTGCCACTTGCAGCAAAGACTTTGGGAAGTCTTTTGCTTTCTAAGAATACCTTGAAAGAATGGGAGAATGTAATGAATAGTGAAATATGGGAATTAGAGAAAGTAGAAATCGACATCTTCTCCCATTTGCTTATAAGTTACAACGAACTGTCCCCGGCACTTAAGCGTTGTTTCTCATATTGTGCTGTCTTTCCTAAAGATACCAAAATTGATGTGGAGAGTATAGTAACCAAATGGATGGCAATGGGTTACCTAGAATCACGCGGGAGTAATGGCGGTGACTGGAAAGTTAGAGGGAGAGAGAACTTTGATAAGTTAGCGATGCTCTCTCTATTTCAAGACTTTAACAGTTGTGGTGATAAGACGGAATCGTTTAAGATGCACGATATCTTGCATGATTTTGCTCTATTCCTTAGGAAGAATGGTAGGGTAGGAGCAGCAGGAATGAAGAAAACAACCTGCCAAGCTTGTAACATTTTGATAGTTTCTCAAGTTCAAGAATACCGTAGCTTATTTAACTACAAAGAACTTCCAAATCCACATCTTTGTGATTGCCTCGCACGTGTGAGGTTGTTAAGTTTAAGGAAATGTGGCTTGAGAGGTATTCCGAAACAAATAGAAAAGTTGATTCACTTGAGATGGTTGAACTTGGGTCGTAATAATTTTCACGACCAAGATGTGAAGACCGTTTGTAAGCTTTATAACTTGCAATTTCTTTGGTTGGACGTGTGCCGGCTAGAAGAGATTTCCTCTAAAATTGGGAATTTGGTTCACTTGATACACTTGGACTTGAGCTATAACAATCTTCTTAAAGAGTTACCGGAGAAAGTATGCAATTTGTGCAAGTTAGAAACTTTGAATGTCGATGGGTGTGAGAGTCTTTCCAAACTTCCCCAAGGGATACACAGACTCGTCAACCTCAAACACCTCTATAATTCTGGTACTAGGTCTCTCGTGCAATATCCTCAAGGACTAGGCCAGTTAACCTGCCTTGACACGTTGAGTCGCTTTGCTTTTGACAAGCTACACTGGAATGAGTTGGGATTGTTGAAAAACTTAAACCGACTTAGCGGGTGCCTGGAATTGAAGACTAACTTTGGTGATCAATTACTTGATGGGGATATCAAGGAAGAGCATCTTGAGGCTATTCGTGAAGCAGAGTTGGGGAAAAAGAAGCACATTCAAGAACTTCGAATAAATTTTTCTGGACACGTTATTTTATTAGATGCTCTGAAGCCACATCCGAATCTACAGATTCTGGATCTTACCCTGGCCTGTGAGCATCGACTTCCATGGTGGATCGCCTCGCCCATCAACCAACTCATATCTATTACCCTCTCTGAATGTACACACCTATCGTCGTTGTCGCATATAGGTCAACTACCCCTCCTCGAGAACTTTGAGATCAAATTTGAATCTTTTTATTCTCGATTGGAGTTTGTTGGACGGGAAATCTTGGGAATGACAACAACAACAACAACAACAACAACAACAACAACAACAACAACAAGGGATCATATAAGTGAAGCTTCTTCATCTTCTTTGACAGCAGCAGCAGCAACAGCAACAACATCAACAACAAGGGATCATATAAGTGAAGCTTCTTTATCTTCTTCGATGGTGGGTAGAAGAAATACTAACACTATTGGGTTTCCAAAGTTGAAGAAACTTAAATTTACGAATTGTTCGAGGTGGAAAGAGTGGGAGGACATTACGGCCGAAGAAGAAGATTCAGATGCCATCACATTAATGCCTTGCCTGACGGAGCTGATTATTCGAAACTGCTCGGAATTGACTAAGCTGCCACATCGCCTCCTGCGAAAGGCATCGTCTTTGGAGTCGTTGCACATTTATTATTCAAGACAGCTAGAACAATTATATGTGGACACGAAGGGTCAACACTGGAAATCCATATCAATATCCCACCCCAATCCACATCTTGTACTCAAGCATTTTTAATTGTCTGTAATTCAACTGCCATTTTCATTTCTACACTAACACAATAGTTAATTCAACTTCTATTTTTTCATTCCCAATATTGTAACATCTTTTTTGGTTTAGCATCTGTTGTTTTCTTATCTTTCTCTTGTACAGAATATAGAATCCAATTTCAGTTATTTTCATCGTACACAATAATTATTAAGGTAAATTACGGTCACCCCTGAGATAAGTTCAAATTACGAAAAAAACCCTCTCATGTTTGGATAATTACAACCACACCCCTCAACTATAAATCTTCTTACATGTCAACCTTTACGGTGTCAAACTCAACATAATCTTCTAGATTATGTGGAATGATTTCTAGTTTGTATTCGTTTTGTGCAAAAATGCAGTTTCTGATGTACCACAATTTGATATTTATAAGCCAAGAGACACATCTTATGATCATCTTGTTTAAAAATATGGAGCTCGAATGAGGTAAAACAAGTACAAAATGGTGAATATCACATAACCTAGAAAATTCCACTAAATTTGACACCACAAGAGTGGACGTGAAGAAGATTCATAGTTGAAGGGGTGGATGTAATTACCCAAACATAAGGAGGTTTTTCGTAATTGGATCTTACCTCAGGGGTTGCCGTAATTTACCCTAATTATTAACATGCTTTTTTTTTTTTTTTTTTTTTGACTTTGACATATGATAGAAAATAAAAACTCAAAAGCGCTCTGCGTAATTATTCACGAGTTGATTTAGAGAAAGGGCTGAAAATAATGAATTGATGGTGGAATCAGCTTACAATTAACTCCAACAGGCACACACATTCAATGTGAGGAGTGTGTGGAAACATATCAAGTGGTTGAATGCTTTTCAGTTTGTAACATCCTCCAATTTTCTGGTCACCCTGCATCAAACAATTCAGATATACAAACTCAGTCTCAATCAAACAGATTTAAAAGCTTATTTTTGTATTCAGCCAAAAAGAAATGCTAACTTACCACACCATGAATAAGGTAATCGAGATCACGAGCACACGTGGCTGGATTACACGACACATAGATAATTCTTTCCGCTTTTAATTTCAGCAAAAACTTGATTAACTTCATGTGCATGCCAGGCCGATTATACACATGTCTCGCCCTAAGAATATGGAATTAATTCGGAAAAAAACAAACAGAATTAGCTAAAAATAAACCTCTTCCCCCATTTGCTTTTGAGTTACAACGAATTGTCCCCAACACTTAAGCGTTGCTTCTCATACTGTGCCGTTTTTCCTAAAGATACCGAAATTACTTTGAGCATTCTGATAACAAAATGGATGGCACTAGGTTACCTTGGAGCGCACGGCGACTGGAAACTTAGAGGAAGAGAGTACTTTAATAAATTAGCAATGCGTTCTCTACTTCAAGACTTTAGGGAAGGTGGCTTAGATGAGAAGATGATAACTTTTAAGATGCATGATATAGTACATGACTTTGCTCAATTCCTTAAGAAGAATGTCGGATCTAGAATTAAGAAAACAACATGCCAAACTTGTAACCCTTTGTTAGTTTCCAAAGTCGAACAATACCGTAGCTTATTTCACTACTATGCACTTGATCCACATCTTTGTGATCGCCTCACTAGTTTGAGGTTGCTGAAGTTAAGAAAATGTAGCTTGGAAGGTATCCCGAAAGAAATAGAAAAGTTGATTCACTTGAGGTGGTTGGACTTGGGTTGTAATGAAATTCCGAACCAAGATCTCAAGACCATTTGCAAGCTTTACAACTTGCAATTTCTTTGGGTGGACGCATGCGGGCTAGAAGAGATTCCGCGGGAAATTGGGAATTTGGTTCACTTGATACACTTGGATTTGGGCGATAATAATTTGTATTTGGATGACCTCGAGTCCATTTGTAAGATGTATAACTTGCAATATCTCAATGTCGAAATGTGCAAGCTACTAGAGATTTCGGATGAAATTGGGAATTTGATTCACTTGAAAACCCTGAATTTGGGCTACAATAATTCTTTAGAAGTGTTGCCGGAGAGCCTGTGCAATTTGCGCGAATTAGAAAGCTTGGATATCACTTCATGCCGGAGTCTTGTTCGACTTCCCCCAGGGATCCACACTGTCACGGACTTGTTCCCTTAACAAAGAACCGTGCGGCCTTAGCTCCTTCTCGCCCCTCGCGATAGCTAAGTCAGCCTCTCCCGAATTGTGTTGCGAATACTTAAGTGATGGAAAAACGAAAGAAGATAAGAAGACAAGAGAGTTGGTAGAAGAGTACTTTATTGCTTAAGTGTTTGTTGAATTGTTGGATCGTGTTGGATGATTACAAATGAGGACCCTACCTCTATTTATACAAGACCACCTCCTCAATGGACGGTGGAGATCGATATGATCTAACGGATGGGAGTGGAACAATCCCTTGATTGTCTCTACCTACCACCACCTACCTCTACCTACCTAAAATATCTCTACCTACCACTATACAATTGGGCCAACTTGGGCCTAACCATATTTGGGCCACAACTTGGACTCTTTATAACCTCCCCAACCCAAGGGAAATCGGCAAGGGGTTGGGTCAAAACTCGCGGGCCGTGACATCCTCCCCCGCCTAATCCGGCGACGTCCTCGTTGCCTCGAACAAGTGGAGACGATCTCGAAATTTTCACAAGTCTTCCTTCGTCTTCCACGTTGCCTCATACTTGGGTAATTCATTTGATGAGGCTCCAGCCCTGCCGGTTGTTTATTCTCCACCTTGTCTTGTTGGCAAACAAGACAAGTCTTCACACATGCATCGACACCGTCCCGCATGTGAGGCCAAAAGTAGGCCGTCTCGAGCAACGCCATTGTCCGTCTTTGGCCCGGATGCCTCGCCCACTTGGTGTCGTGGCATTCCCTTATGAGGTCCTTCCTCAAGCTGCCCCACTTCGGAACAAAGAGTCGTTGCCCCTTTGTGTAGAGTAGACCGTCCTCTACCCAAAATTTCCTCGTCTTGCCCTCCTTGACGAGTCGGATTAGCTCCTTGGTCATTGGATCATGTTCGAGCCCTTCTCAGATCATGTCGGCCAAGTTCCCCCTTGTCGAGCTAATGGCTGCGAGTTCGGCCTTTCTACTCAATGCGTCAGCTACAACGCTTGCCTTCGATGGTCGGATCTCCCCCGTCTCGACCAACTCGGTGGCGTGGTCCACCTCCCTCCTAGGTGGAAGCTTGTTGGGTAAATTTGGTGGCATCACGTCTTGGTTGGCCTCCAAGACGGTTTGGATGATCGGTGGCGCGTCCTCCTCTTTGTTCACGGGCGGGCTTTCCTCCTTTAAAGTGGTTAAGAATGTCGGCTCGCCCCGTCGAACTCTCTTGGCAACTTGCATGGCCGACAGTTGCCTTGGTTGTGTGCTTTCTTCCTTAGTGGTGCCGTTGATGGCCGGCACCATGCAAGGTGTCCCCTTCTCTAAAATGCAAACCGAATTGAAACAAGGCATTGGGATAGCCATTACCTTGCGGAAGAAGTCCATGCCTAGCACCACCTTGAAATCATCCATTGGTGCTACCGAAAAATCCACTTGGCCCTTCCAAGTGCCTAAGTGTAGCTCCGCGTCTCGTGCTACACCGTTGAGCGGTTGTGCCTTGGCGTTAACGGCCTTGAGCCAACCGTCTCGTCTAGTCCACCGTAGGCCAACCCTCTTGGCCTCGTCTTCGGTGATGAAGTTGTGGGTCGCTCCCGTGTCCACCATCACCTTTGCTGGGGTATCGTTGATGCGCGCCTCCACATACATCAGCCCCTTGCTTGATGTGGCCGGCATCGGGTTTGCCTTTAAGGCATTAAGAAGTTGGAGCGATCCCATGTTGCCTAGCTCCTCGTTTGTGTCTTGTTCGGTCTCTTGTTGTAAGAGTGCCGACAATGACCCCATCTTGGGACATTGACTCATCGCGTGTGGCCCCTTGCACACGAAGCATCCTCCCTTAGGCACAAACGACTTCTTCTTCTCTTCAAGTTGTTGGCGTGAGGATGGCTTGTCTCCTCCCCTCGAGGTTGACGCTCGCCGTGGGTCTCGGTTATCTCGATGGTCCCGACCATGATTGTCCCGTCTCTCTCCTCCGCCTTTAGTCGGACTCCACTTCTCTTTTCGCAACGGCTCTCTCGGTTGATACTCGGTTAAAGACTCGGCGGCGGCAATAGCTTCATCGACAGATTTGATGTCTCGTCGGTGGAGTTCTTGCTTGACCCAGCCTTGTAACCCATCGGTGAAGTGGAAAAGGAGATCCTCCTCGGAAAGGTTGGGAATTTGAAGGGTGAGGGTGGTGAACTCCGTCACGTACTCGCGGATTGAACTTCGTTGCTTGAGTTCCCTCAACCTCCTTCGAGCCTCATAAACGACGTTCTCCGGGTAGAAGTGTCGCTTGAGTTCCCTCTTGAACTCCTCCCAAGTATCGATTCGGCAAATGCCTTTCTCGATATCGGCGTGCTTCCTACGCCACCACAACATTGCCGTATCGGAAAGGTAAAGGGAAGAAGTTCTTACCTTAGTCGTCTCGTCGACTAGACCGATACCCTCGAAGTATTGCTCCATCCTCCATAGGAAGTTCTCAACTTCCTTGGCGTCCCTTACGCCGTTGAATCCCGTTGGCTTCGGGCAGTCCACCCTTGGACTCGAAGTAGCGCCAACGCTACCGTTAGCGGCGGCCTTTTTGCACAAGGCCAAGTCGTCGCGCATCCCCTCGATGCTCTCTTGGAGGGATTGGATGATGGCCTCCAATCGATCCAACCGTTCCTCCCGCAACGCCTCATTGTCCCTAGACAAATCGAGTTGCTCGGCGACGTGATTCTCCAACACTCCCGTATCGTGCTCGAGCTTCTCGAATCTTTCGCTAAGCTCCGCTATGGCGATGTTATTCTCGAGCCTCTCGAGTCTTTCGCCATGATCCGTTAGCACGGCCTCGGTACTGGTACTCTCCCCACGAGCCTTGTTGTGGTCCCTCTTCTTCTTGTTGTTCACGTGGGCCTCCCTGCCACGTCCCTCGGTCACGTACGAAATGTCTTCAACGTTCGCCATCGTTGAGTATTCGATCAACACAAAGCCCTTAGCCGGGCTCTGATACCACTTGTCACGGACTTGTTCCCTTAACAAAGAACCGTGCGGCCTTAGCTCCTTCTCGCCCCTCGCGATAGCTAAGTCAGCCTCTCCCGAATTGTGTTGCGAATACTTAAGTGATGGAAAAACGAAAGAAGATAAGAAGACAAGAGAGTTGGTAGAAGAGTACTTTATTGCTTAAGTGTTTGTTGAATTGTTGGATCGTGTTGGATGATTACAAATGAGGACCCTACCTCTATTTATACAAGACCACCTCCTCATTGGACGGTGGAGATCGATATGATCTAACGGATGGGAGTGGAACAATCCCTTGATTGTCTCTACCTACCACCACCTACCTCTACCTACCTAAAATATCTCTACCTACCACTATACAATTGGGCCAACTTGGGCCTAACCATATTTGGGCCACAACTTGGACTCTTTATAACCTCCCCAACCCAAGGGAAATCGGCAAGGGGTTGGGTCAAAACTCGCGGGCCGTGACATCACGCTCGTAAACCTCAAACACCTTTATAATAGGAATACTACTCGCCTGGTGCAATATCATGTGAAGGACTAGCTAGCACAGCTAACTAGCCTAGTCACATTGAAAGAATTCCGTTCTGGTCGTGGAATGTATTAGAATTTAAACCGACTTAGCTGGTCCCTCAAGTTGATAGACGAAACAGGTACAAACAGATGGGAGCAAATTGGAAGAAGAAGAAGAAGAAGAAGAAGAAGAAGAAGAAGAAGAAGAAGAATATTCTGTTGCGGTCAAGTTGATGCCTTATCTGGCGGTTTTGACTATCGACGAATGCAACGGATTGACGGAGCTACCACAACGCCTCCTACAAAAAGGTGTCGTCGGTTTCGTTGGATATTAGAGGTACCGAACAGCTAATAAAAGCCAGGAAATCAATTTCACGCCACAATGCAGACCTTAGGCTCGTCAAATGATTAGTTTTGTGTAAATCTTGAGTTATCATTTTCAAATTTTTTTTTTTCATTTTTTTTGTACTACAGTATGAATTATTTCCATTACTGTAGCTTTAATAACTATAATATATGCTAGTAATTCTTGTTTTGACTAGAAGTGAAAATCAGACGGCTTAAATCAGATTCAACATTTTGTCGAAATTTTCTTTGTTCGCCAAAATTTCTAATACTTTCAAATATGTTTTAGGCGTAGAGACGATTCAGCTCCATTGAAGAATTTTTCAAAGTCGTTTTTTTTTAGAGAATGGGATTGATAACTGTTCCCGTTTATACAACTATTATTACGCTGATTTGGTTAACGAATACTTTGATTATCAAGAGTAGGTAGTTCATTCAATTATTTGTTGGACAAATTGAAAGTTCAAACAAATGGCCCCGTACCGTTATCTAGAAGAAAAGAAATGGTCAAAACGCGTTTTCTACCAAGAGCGGTAGTTGGAGCCCGAAAGTTGAAATTGTTTATATATATATTCGAACCTGCTCCCCTTCATAAATTGATAACAATGGGGAAACAAGTGGTTAGCAGCCATATATATTTTAATGAATAGTTTATGCATTTTGGATTAAACTAGAGTAGTTAGTAGTTCGTCTATTTATATCGAGAGAAATTTTATCCGAAAGAGTAGAGCACAAACACGTACGTACGTATTTATACATACTAAAATAAGTAGTGTAAGCGATCATGGTGGATGTTATCGTCCGGAGTGGCTGCGCGACTTACGGATCTCATAGCGAAGCAAATTCGAAATAGAGTGAATTTGGTGAAAGGCGTTGAGAGCGATATCCAAAATCTTTCCGGCGAGCTCAAAAGACTAGGAAACACGTTGGATGATGCAGAGAGGAGAGAATTCAAGGACAAGAGCGTCAAAGATTGGTTGAGGAAGCTAGAAGACGCGTCTTACGAAATGGACGACGTGTTGGACGAATGGAACATTTCCATTGTCAAACTTCAGCAAAAGAAGGTAGGGTCCTTCATCCCGTTTCCAAATCTAGTTGTCAACAACTTTGCTATTCGTTACGACATCGCCTTGAAAATAATAGAAGTGAAAAAACGACTCGATCTGATTTTCGTGGAGAGAGATCGGTTCGATTTTGTGGCCTCTTACCCTATTCATGCCTCTCGCGAACCGCGGCTAAGTCAAACTACTTCTTTGATTGACTTAGCGAAAGTTTGCGGCCGCGAGTCTGAAAATGAAAACCTGGTAGACAAACTTATGAGTGTAGGTGGTAGCAGAGACGAATTAGACGTATGTGTCCTCTCCATAGTGGGCCCGGGGGGTATTGGAAAGACAACTCTTGCTAAACTAGCTTATAACGATAGTCGAGTAAAAAATTGCTTTCAACTAAGAATTTGGATATGTGTTTCACGTTCTTTTGATGAGGTTGGAATAGCGAATGAAATTATTTTTAGAGTAGGGGGAAGTAAACCAAATACAAACCAATTAGATATGCTATTACGTTGTCTAAAAGAGTTAATTTCTGGAAAGAAGTTTCTTCTTGTCCTGGATGATGTTTGGATAGAAGATAATACTAAGTGGGAACCTCTAAAAAACTCTCTCAAACAACGTGACGGGGTGGGTAGTAAGATTTTGGTGACAACCAGAAATCAATGTGTTGCTGTAATGATAGGTAGTGTTAAGAATGAGATCCACCATTTAGGAAGTCTGTCAGATGATGAGTGTTGGTTGTTATTAAGTCGGATAGCCTTTTCTGGAAAGAACGAGGAGGAATGTAAAAGATTTCATAACATAGGTAATAATATTGCTAAGAAGTGCAAGGGATTGCCACTTGCAGCAAAGACTTTGGGAAGTCTTTTGCTTTCTAAGAATACCTTGAAAGAATGGGAGAATGTAATGAATAGTAAAATATGGGAATTAGAGAAAGTTGAAATTGACATCTTCTCCCATTTGCTTATAAGTTACAACGAACTGTCCCCGACACTTAAGCGTTGTTTCTCATATTGTGCTGTCTTTCCTAAAGATACCAAAATTGATCTGGAAAGTGTAGTAACCAAATGGATGGCAATGGGTTACCTAGAATCACGCGGGGGTAATGGCGGTGACTGGAAAGTTAGAGGGAGAGAGAACTTTGATAAGTTAGCGATGCTCTCTCTATTTCAAAACTTTAAGAGTTGTGGTGATAAGACGGAATCGTTTAAGATGCACGATATATTGCATGATTTTGCTCTATTCCTTAGGAAGAATGGTAGGGTAGGAGCAGCAGGAATGAAGAAAACAACCTGCCAAGCTTGTAACATTTTGATAGTTTCTCAAGTTCAAGAATACCGTAGCTTATTTAACTACAAAGAACTTCCAAATCCACATCTTTGTGATTGCCTCGCACGTGTGAGGTTGTTAAGTTTAAGGAAATGTGGCTTGAGAGGTATTCCGAAACAAATAAAAAAGTTGATTCACTTGAGATGGTTGAACTTGGGTCGTAATAATTTTCACGACCAAGATGTGAAGACCGTTTGTAAGCTTTATAACTTGCAATTTCTTTGGTTGGACATGTGCCAGCTAGAAAGATTTCCTCGAAAATTGGGAATTTGGTTCACTTGATACACTTGGACTTGAGCTATAACAATCTTCTTAAAGAGTTACCGGAGAGACTATGCAATTTGTGCGAGTTAGAAACTTTGAATGTCGATGGGTGTGAGAGTCTTTCGAAACTTCCCCAAGGGATACACAGACTCGCCAACCTCAAACACCTCTATAATTCTGGTACTGGGTCTCTCCTGCAATATCCTCAAGGACTAGGCCAGTTAACCTGCCTTGATACGTTGAGTCGCGTTGTTTTTGACGAGCTACACTGGAACGAGTTGAGATTGTTGAAAAATTTAAACCGACTTAGCGGGTGTCTGGAATTGAGGACCAAGTTTGGTAATCGATTAGAAGATGGGGATATCAAGGAAGAGCACCTTGAGGCTATTCGTGAAGCAGAGCTGGGAAAAAAGAAGCACATTCAAGAACTTCGAATAATTTTTTCTGGACACGTGATTTTAATAGATGCTTTGAAGCCACATCCAAACCTACAGATTCTGGATCTTACCCTGTCCGGTGAGCATCGACTTCCATGGTGGATTGCCTCGCCCATCAACCAACTCATATCTATTACCCTCTCTGAATGTACACACCTATCGTCATTGTCGCATCTAGGTCAACTACCCCTCCTCGAGAACTTTGAGATCAAATTTGAATCTCCTTTTGAATCTCGACTGGAGTTTGTTGGACGGGAAATCTTGGGAATGACAACAACAACATCAACAACAACAACAGCAGCAGCAGCAACAGCAACAGCAACAAGGGATCATACAAGTGAAGCATCTTCATCTTCTTCGATGGTGGGTAGAAGAAATACTAACGCTATTGGGTTTCCAAAGTTGAAGAAACTTAAATTTACGAATTGTTCGAAATGGAAAGAGTGGGAGGACATTACGGCCGAAGAAGAGGATTCAGATGCCATCACATTAATGCCTTGCCTGACGGAGCTGATTATTCGAAACTGCTCGGAATTGACTAAGCTGCCACGTCGCCTCCTGCGAAAGGCATCGTCTTTGGAGTCGTTGCACATTTATGGTTCAAGACAGCTAGAACAATTATATGTGGACACGAAGGGACATCGCTGGAAATCCATATCAATATCCCACCCCAATCCACATCTTGTACTCAAGCATTTTTAATTGTCTGTAATTCAACTGCCATTTTCATTTCTACACTAAACACAATAGTTAATTCAACTTCTATTTTATCATTCCCAATATTGTAACATCTTTTTTGGTTTAGCATCTGTTGTTTTCTTATCTTTCTCTTGTAGAGAATATAGAATCCAATTTCAGTTATTTTCATCGTACACAATAATTATTAAGGTAAATTACGGTCACCCTGAGATAAGGTTAAATTACGAAAAAACCCTCTCATGTTTGGATAATTACAACCACACCCATCAACTATAAATCTTCTTACATGTCCACTTTTACGGTGTCAAACTCAACATAAGATTATATATATTATTAACCTGTAATGACAAGATCTGGCTTGGGGAAATATTCTCCAAAATTCTCCCCGATTTTGTTAAGATCCCCTTGGACAAATGTGGCGTTGGATATGCCATTAATATCCGCATTACGACGCTCATCTGATATGGCTTGATCGACTATCTCAAAACCGTACACATGTTTCGCCCTAAGAATATGGAATTAATTCGGCAAAACAAACAGAATAAGCTAAAAATAAACCTCTTCCCCCATTTGCTTTTTAGATACAACGAATTTTCTCCAACACTTAAGCGTTGCTTCTCATACTGTGCCGTCTTTCCTAAAGATACCGAAATTAATTTGAATTTTCTAATAACAAAGTGGATGGCACTAGGTTACCTTGGATAGCACGGTGACTGGAAACTTAGAGGGAGAGAGTACTTTAATAAATTAGAAATGCGTTCTTTATTTCAAGACTTTAGGGAAGGTAGCTTAGATGAGAAGATGATGATATCTTTTAAGATGCATGATATAGTACATGATTTTGCTCAATTCCTTAAGAAGAATGTCGGAACAAGAATTAAGAAAACAACTTGCAAAACTTGTAACCCTTTTTTAGTTACCGTAGCTTATTTCACTACTATGCACTTGATCGCCTCACTAGTTTGAGGTTGTTGATGTTAAGAAATTGTAGCTTGAAAGGTATCCCGAAAGAAATAGAAAAGTTGATTAACTTGGATTTGAGCCAAAATAAATTTTCTAGTGATGAACTGAAGTCCATTTGTAAGTTGTATAACTTGGAATTTCTTAGCGTTAGGGCTTGCAAGCTACAAGAGATTTCGGATGAAATTGGGAATTTGATTCACTTGAAAAACCTGGAGTTGAGACATAATCGTTCTTTAAAGGAGTTGCCGGAGAGCCTGTGCAATTTTGCACGAATTATAAAGCTTGATATCAATTCATGCGAGAGTCTTGTTCCACTTCCCGAAGGGATCCACGCGCTCGTAAACCTCAAACACCTCTACAATGAGGATACTACTTGTCTAGTGCAATATCATCAAGGACTAGCACAGTTAACCAGCCTCGTCACGTTGAAAGAATATCGTTGGACGTGGTGTTGGATATTAGAGGTTCCGAACAGCTATTACAAGTTTACGGGGACAAGGAATATGGTGAAGCCTGGAAATCCATATCCCATCACAATCCATGCCTTTCCTTTGTTCGATCAGTGGCGAATCCAAGATTGATGCCAATGATATTCGAAATTTAATACAACACAAATATAAGAAAAATTGTACATTTTTGTATTTACAACAATTTAGAACATTTTTCTTCCTATTTCCATATTTTGAAGAAGAGATTTTCTTTTTTTTTTTTTCTTTTTTTGTATTTCAATATACGTTGTGTAATATTTATTTATAACAAGTCGATCCATGATTGATATTTAAAATTGAGAAACTTAATTCACTTTTATATTCCATATAAATATGGTTTTATCTATCCTACACCCGGTGAAGGTTACATCGGGTGATTTTTTACCGTTGATCTACACATACCAATGTGGATATGTGTGTGTTTGTGTGTATATGAATGGTAAAGATTTACCCAGTGTATTTCACCCGTGAAGGATCTCAAAAGCCAATATAAATATAAATAATTGGATAAGAAGTTCAATAACTCTATTTATATATTCCATTAGCACTCTATCGAAAGTGAAAAATTAGTTTCAACCCCTCGTCAAAAAAACCATTCAGAACAATCTAAAATCAGATTTCGTAACGAAAAATCTTATTCCATCATCCAAATTTTCGAATTGAAACTGGCAGAAATCTAAAATTATTTTTTTGTTATTCACCTATGATAAAATGTCCGAGTTTACTAATAGTCATCATGCATTTATTATTTCAATTAATGTAATCATTAAGACTAATAGAAAAAAAATGGTAAATTCCACTTTTCCCCTTGTACTTTTACTTTAGCTCCTTCAACTCTTAATTGTATCGATTTGTCCCCTCTGCACTTGAAAAATAATCTCAATGTGGTCCTCGTTGTTAGTTGTCAGACATTTGACATTAACATAGTTTGATCTAAGCTCTGAAATTACAAAACATCACCCCTCTCTGTTTAAATAATTATTTAAAAAAAATAACAAAAAAATCAAGACAACGAGAAACATAATCCACGATGTCAGCCACAATTTTTTTTTTTTACTAATTATTTAAACTGGAAGGAATGGTTTTTTTTTGTAATTTTCAGACTTAGATCAAATGATGTTAAGGTCAAATGTCTGAACGGGCCACATTAAGACAATTTTTCAAGTACATGGTGACAAATTGATGCAATCGAGAGTAAAAGGGGGTATAAAGTGATATCGAGCTACACTGTAAGGGAAGTGGAATTTACCCTAAAAGAAAATGTAATCATTAAGTCTAATTAATGTAATCATTTCAATTAATGCAATCATCGTACTAACGTGCGTCCCACTGATTTATTTACTAGTACTAGAGGACTTAATTTTATTTTCTTTTTTCCAAAGAGAGGAATTTCTTCAAGTGCTCCTAAAATTAGTGTCTGCTCTCCACGTTCAATTGTGAAGTTGACTTAAACTAGAAATAGTTCGTCTATTTATAGATCGAGTCATTTGATTTATCAATACAATCATTTGAAAAAAAAAAACCGAGTCCATAAACATACCCGAAAACAAATAAGTTAGTGATCATGGCTGAGGCTATCGTTTCTATCGTGGTGGAGCGGCTTGCAGGTTTCATAGCAGAGCAGATTCAAAACGAAGTGAATTTGGTGAGAGGCGTTGACAAAGAGCTTAAGAGTCTTTCGCGTGATCTTAACACGGTTCGGAATGTGTTGGACGATGCGGAGAAGAAAGGATGCAAGGACAAAATCGTCAAAGATTGGTTGAAGAGGCTCGAAGACGCGTCTTACGAAATGGACGACGTGTTGGACGAATGGAACTACTCCATTCTCAAATTTCAGATCGAACAATCGTCTGATCGTGATGTTGCTGCTGCTGCTGATGCTGTTGTTCATAAGAAAAAGGTATGGTCCTTCATCCCATCTTCGTGTGTGTGTTTCAAGAAAGTTGTTATTCGTCATGATATTGCATTGAAAATAAAAGAAGTCAAAGCACGACTCGATCTAATCTTGAGGGAGAAGGATCGATTTGGTTTTGTGACCTCTCAGCCAATTGATCCTTCTCGCGAATCGTGGCGAGTTCAGTCTACTTCTTTGATTGATTTAGAGGAAGTTTGTGGCCGCGAGTTGGAGAGAGAAAGTATGGTGAGCGAACTCGTGGGTGAAGGTGGTAACGGAGAAGAATTAGGCATCCGCGTTACCTCTATAGTGGGTGAGGGGGGACTTGGGAAGACAACTCTTGCTAAACTGGCTTATAACGACACTCGAGTTGAGAAACATTTTGAGTTAAGAATTTGGATTTGCGTTTCGGATCCCTTTAACGAGGTTGAGATTGCGAAAGGGATTGTCGCGAGTGTGAAAAAGTTGGATAACCCCCCGAATACCAACCAACTGGAAACGCTACTACAAAGTCTAAAAGAGACTATTTCAGGGAAAAAGTTTCTTCTTGTCCTGGATGATGTTTGGACAGAAGACGATACCAAGTGGGAACCCCTGAAAAACTCTCTCACATGCGGTGGGGCGGGTAGTAAGGTTTTGGTGACAACTAGAAATCAAAGGGTTGCAATAATGATGGGTACCGTTAGGAATGAGATCCACAATTTAGGACATCTCTCCGATAAAGATTGTTGGTTGTTATTACGCCGTGTAGCTCTTTCTGGAATGGATGAGGAGGAATGTGTAAAATTCCAAAGTGTAGGTATGAGCATAGCTAAAAAGTGCAAGGGGTTGCCACTTGCAGCAAAGACTTTGGGAAGTCTTTTGCGGTTCAAGAATACCTTACAAGAGTGGGAGAACGTATTGCTTAGTGAAATATGGCAATTGGAGGAAGCTGAAGTAGAACTTTTCCCTCATTTGCTTCTGAGCTACAATGAATTGTCCCCGTCACTTAAGCGGTGTTTCTCATATTGTGCCATATTTCCTAAAGATTCTGATATTAATGTGGAGAGTCTAATATCGAAATGGGTTGCATTAGGTTATGTAGGATCCAATGGGGGTAGTGTTGGTGACTGGAAACTTAGAGGGATGGAGTACTTTGATAAGTTAGCCATGCGTTCTTTGTTTCAAGACTTTAAGGTAGGTTTTTTCAAAAAGCCGTGGTACTTTAAGAAAGGTGTTTTTGGAAATGATATACAATGGTTTAAGATGCATGATATAGTACACGATTTTGCTCAATTCCTTAGGAAGGGTGGCGAAATGAGAGAAGAAATGACGAATAAAACAACTTGCCAAACATGTAAACCTTTGTCGGTTTACCATGTCAAAGAATATCGTAGCTTATCTTGGTCCAAAAAATCACAACCACGTCTTTGTGATTGCCTCACAAGTATGAGGTTGTTAGATTTAAAAGGTTGTAACTTGCGGAGTATTCCGAAGGAAATAGAAAAGTTGATTCACTTGAGGTGGTTGGACTTGGGTCATAATAAATTTCCCGCCAAAGATCTTAAGACCATTTGCAAGCTTTATAACTTGCAATTTCTTTGGTTGAACAGTTGCGAGCTAGAAGAGATTCCCCGGGAAATTGGAAATTTAATTCACTTGAAACACTTGGACTTGCAAAGTAACGGAGTTCTAAAGGAGTTGCCAGAGAGCCTATGCGATTTACGTGAATTGGAAAGCTTGGATATTTCTGCATGCTATTGTCTCTCTCGACTTCCCGAAGGGATCCACAGACTCATAAACCTCAAACATCTCGATAATACACTTACTCATTCTCTGAAGCAGTTTCCTCAAGGACTAGGCCAGTTGACTAGTCTTAGCACATTGCGTGGCTTCTATGGAGGAAGACATTGTAGCAAGTTTGGTTTGTTGAAGAACTTAAACCGACTTAGTGGGTCCCTCGAATTGGTGATCAAATTAAGTGGCGATGATTGGGTGGTTGAGGATGCTCGTGAAGCAGAGTTGAGGAAAAAGATCCACCTTCAGAAACTGGAGATAATGTTTTCTATATCAACAAAGGATTGTGAAGAAATGAAGGAGGGGGTGTGGACGGATATAATAGATGTTCTCGAGCCACATCCAAACCTACAGAATCTGGAAATCTGCAACTACTATGGCTTGCGGCTTCCAGGATGGGTCGTGTCGCCCCTCAACCATCTAAGATCTATTCGCCTCAGCGATTTTGAATATATGTCGTCGTTGCCACCTTTGGGCAAACTACCATTCCTGGAAAGTGTTGAGATCCGTTGCATGCCCGGATTGCAATTTCTGGGACGAGAATTTCTGGGGATAACAACAACAAAATCTGAGAATAATATGGATAGTGAAGTTTCATCTTCGTCTTCATGTGGTGGTACTAACAATGGTGGTATCATACAGTTTCCAAAGTTGAAGGAACTGAAATTCTCCAAATGTTCCAACTGGAAGGAGTGGGAGGACATCACTGCCGAAGAAGAAGAAGAAGAAGAAGACGGTGTTGGTGTCTCGTTAATAATGCCTTGCCTGACAAAGTTGACTATCTTTGACTGCACAGGATTGACAGAGCTGCCGCACCGCCTCCTGCAAAAGGTGTCGCCGTCGTTGAAGGAGTTGGATATTAGAGGTTCAAAAGGGCTGGAACAAGTTTACGGCGACAAGGAGGGTAAAGCCTGGAAATCCATATCCCACCACAATCCAAATCTTCTCCTCAAACAATATTTTTAGTTTTGTGTAAATTCAACTTTCATTTTTTATTTTCACTTTTATTGTAACCATGTGGATTTATTGAGTTAGGTTACCTATGTAAATGGTGCAAGATAGTTGCAAATTACATTGCATTTCATGTTCGCCACTAGATCTCAAATGTTCGGTGCTCAAGACCAGGTCCAAAAAAAACCCGAAAAGCGTTGCTATAGTAACGAGTTGAGTTAGATAGGGATTGAAATGGATTGCTGATGGAATCAGCCTATACTTAGCTCCAACAGGCACACGCATTCAATGTGAGGAGTGTGCGGAAACATATCAACTGGTTGAATGCTTTTCAGTTTGTAACATCCTTCAATTTTCTGCTCAGCCTGCATCAAACAATTCAGATATACAAACTCAGACTCAATCAAATAGATTAAAAGCTTTTTTTTTAATTCAGCGAAAAGAAAATGAAAACTTACCACACCATGACAAAGGTAATCCAGGTCACGAGCACACGTGGCTGGATTACACGATACATAGATAATTCGTTCCGCTTTTAATTTCAGCAAAAACTTGATTAACTTCATGTGCATGCCAGGCCGATTCGGATCTGCGTCAATTTTTAAATGTTACAAAAAAACACACACATTGCGTGAAAAATAACTGCAGAGGGAAATAGAATCTAGCAAGATTATATATATTAACCTGTGATGACAAGATCTGGCTTCGGAAAATATTCTCCGAAATTCTCCCCGATTTTATTAAGGTCCCCTTGGACGAATGTGGCGTTAGATATGCCATTAATATCCGCATTACGACGTGCATCTGATATGGCTTGATCGACTATCTCAAAACCATACACATGTTTCGCCCTAAGAATATGGCATTATTTCGGAAAAAACACACAGAATTAGCTAAAAATAAACCATGGGAGTGAATAACAGAGTAAGCTCGGGAAAATTACCTTTTTGCAAGTGTTAACCCGATTGTCCCAGTCCCACAAAAGAGATCTAGAACTATTTCTGATCCGTCTCCTTTCAGAAAAGAGCTTTCCTCTATTAGTTTATACAGAATCTCTGCCTGCATGGTACAACTATTTACAGATAGGCCTCAATTACTAAAAGAAAAATGTAAAGCTCAAAACAAAAATCAAGCAAGTCGGGAAGCTCGGCTTCAGTTAACTAGTATTTTAACATTATACAATACATAGAAATATAGAAGCAAAAATAGCGATGTGTTTTAAATTTTAATCTATTTGCTGCATACCTGGTGTGTGTTCGTCTGGAAGAAAGAGTTGGCAGAAATTTGAAACTTTAATCCTCGAAGGCTCTCTGTAATTGTTGGTTTACCAAAGAGTGTATACTCCACCTCCCCGACAGATGTGTTACCCACGGACGTATTTACATTATTCATGATGCTTACCTAAATTTCGGCAAAAAAGTATATAAATTATAAAACTAATGTCCATCCAAACAGGTATTCAACGGGTTTATGTTGCTGGTAAGAGATATTTAAAAGAAACAAAATGTCGAGTGCATCCTCCTTAACCTAAAGTTGGGGCAATTTGCAATAAAATGAACATAAATGCAAAAGAATTAACAATATTCCTTCACGATTTAGTTAGACTGACATCAGATTAGGTCGTCTACTAGTAATAGTAAGTGACGTATGCATTTGCACGTGATTCGTGTGGTTTTAGTAAACTGTCCATAAATCTTAGTCAAGCATGAAAATTATACGAATAATTCAACCACTCACCACGTCAGGAAAAGCTTCGATTTTCTCCACGAGGGGCTTCAGTAGTTCTGGTTTGTATGACGAAGTCACAAAATTAACCATAAGTTCAGGCTGGCCGGTCTCCACATTCCTAAAAATACTAAGTTAGAAAGAAAGTCTACCAAAAATGGGATCAGGAGCGAAAAATGAGATGACTACCTGCCAGATCTAAGCATCAAATGCTTCAAAAATCCGTGATGGGAGTGCACATCATATGGAGAAAGACCTAATTCCGGGTCCCTCCAAAAGTCCTGAATAACTGCAAGTACCTAGTAATCAACGAGGGTTAAAAAGTTAGATTAACAAAATGTACTCGTAGATGTACGGCATTAGATGATAGGTATGCTCACTGCAACTCTATTACATTTACATCCACACTAGAACTCGAAGAGCGACAGCAATAAGAGAACACAACCAACATGGAATCGAAATTTACGAACCAGCATACCTTGTTGGCTGAATCGCTCTGTAACAAGCACTTGTTGATATTCAAAACCTTGTCAAAAAATCCAGGAGCATGCAATCCCAACGCATATGTGTTGGTTTCTTCATCGCATTCTTGCTGCATAAGTTCAGCAGGTACCCATTCTTTGGTGCCAAAGGAGAATTCCATCTACACAGCCAAAAAACGAACTTAAACCTTATATCTCCGCTAGTTAGTATAAAGTTTGCGCCAAGTCGCCAACAAGTAAGAAAATGATCGCGCATATAAAATATACACGATAGGAAACAAATTGAACAATCAGTAACAGAACACTACACCAGCTAAAATTAAATTAGAAGACTATAAAATACTGGACATTTAGAAATAAATCAAAATACGAAAAATGTTGCACAGAAGCTATTTTTCACTGACCTTGTTCCGATAATGGAACTGAATATCACAAGGAACAATGGGCTTCATGATGCCATCGTATTCGGAATCCTTTACCGAAAACTTGCCAACGTGTACAATCAACTCCCGAACCTGATGCTCCTTTGCCCTAACCTGAGCTTCGTACAACAAGTCCTGCATTTTGCAACCTCCGCAATGTGAAGCAAACTCACACGGTGCTTCCACAATATCCCTGTGTGGAGTTATCGTCTTCAATTTCTTCACCTGCCAATCGCACGGCATTTGATTTAACGAAATAAATTAATATGATCATTTCATCAAAAACGGAAAACTCGAATAATTAAGTGCACTAAATATTCGAATAATCAAATGAAAAATACAAACAATTTCAGTAGATAAAGTGATAAACCTCTGCGTAATCATTCTTCTTCCGGGTCACGCGCCCAACGAACTTCTCTCCGGGCAACGCGCGGTCGCACATGACGATGAAGCCGGTGCCGGCGACCTTACACAATCCCTTGCCTTTGTAAGCTAAGCTCTCGCAAACAAGCTCCAATGTCTGCCCTCGCTTAGGGTAAAACGGCGTCGCCGTCTTCTTATCCGTATTTGTGCTCGTGGAAGGTTGAGGCGGCGGTGCAGCTGTCGCCGTGAGTTCTTCCGCATTTTGAATTGGTAAGGCAGCGGCGAGTACTGAGAGCGGACGGGCCGCTCGTCTGAGGTTCCGCAGCCACGGTCGAGGGTGGAGGAGGCGAACGCCGCTGGCTGGAAACGCCGCCGCCATGATTGGGGTTTTAACGGCTAATATCGCCGCCGTATGGTGTTGAGGAAAACGGCAAACGAATTAAGGATTAGAAGGGCGCATTCATCAGTTTGAACTAAAATCGCTAAGTAGCATAAGTCGCTTTTAGAAGCACGAGTTTAGCATATATCGCTAAACAGCATAAGTCGTCATTTGTGAAGCTAGTAGCATAAAGGTTTAGCATTAATTTTAGTGTAAATAGCATTTAACTCCCTGTGGTTACAAGATTTTGCATATGACCCCCATATGTTCGTATTATCAGCACATAACCCTCTTTGGTCTATGGGAGGTAGCTTCAGTTAGTTTTTCAATCAAACTTAACCGTGTGTGTCAAACTTTAAGGGGTTCATTTGCAAAAATGAAAGCACAAGGGGGTCATCTGCAAAAAAATTACTTTGACGTTTGACACTGGCGGCTAAATTTGATGAAAAAATTAACGAAAGTTACCCTCATCAACCACGAGGAGTTTATGTGTTAATATTAAAAGTATAAGGGGTTATCTGCAAAAGCTGATAAACACGGGGGGTTAAGTGTTATTTACCCTTAGTTTTATTTTCACATTTTATAAAAACGCTACCTTTCTCGCAAGTTCTTGAAGGATTGTTTAGACTTCAGATTCTTGGAAAATTATTGCTGGTTCGAGAATTATTTTAAGGTGATACGAGTTAATTTATTTTTGACCGCATAACTACAATATAATTCAATATTTGATCCTCTAAATTACTCTGTTTCATATTTACTATGTTTCATATTCAGTTGCTATTAAATTATGATGTAAGAAAAATAGAAAATATATATATATGCTTTATATTGCAAGCTCTACTTATTTGGATAGTGAAAAATCTAGACTATGTTATTCTAATGCATATACATATGACTGAAAATATATATGTTTAAAATTTATACTATTTAATAAAAACTTATAAATATTTACCACTTTTGACTATATTTCATGAAAACTTCTAAAATTATTTCGAGGGCGCTGCCCAACAAACCCCCAAAAGTTAAGACACTCTGACTACATTGTTTATAAAATTGTCATCCCTAACCACGACATCTTTAAAACAAGTATTTATTAGCATCTAATGAGTTTTGGTGAGTCAATGTAACCATATCATAATATTAAATAGTATGTAATTATATATGCACTAGCGGAACTAGAATTTTAAGTCTACGGAGTAAAATGCATTAAAAAATTATAGAAGAGTCGTTAATGCTATTATACTGTTCAGACAATATAGCCATAGGGTGTCGATTTCATTGTTGTGGAATTACTATATTGGGCCTGAAATTGGACCGTTGGTTCTAGAAAAAATGTTACGAAAGGGACACAAGCACCAGCAAACCGACTTTTGGTCTGAACCGACGTCGTTTGGACGTGACAATTAAATTCTCGATGCATGAATCTGCACATAAATATAAAATCTTGCTGTGATCTACAAATATAGTGACATCTGTCAACATTATTTCTTCGAAATTTTTGTGTGTCTTCTTGTTTTTATTTTAATTAGTTAGTCCATTTTTAATTATTAATCAGATTTTAAATATATTACAATATTAATGCATTATGTGGGTTTTATCTTAATTCAGTAATATATATATATATATATATATATATATATATATATATATGAAAAGAAATAGATAGTGAATCAAAATTGAAAATGTGATGGTCCCAAAGTAGTTATCAAATCTGGAGTTTCCACGTGGGCTAAAGATATCTGATTGGAAATACTTGCCAATTAGAGAAAGCCACCTGTGAATAACAACCACGCGTTCACGTGTGACTCATCTAATAATAGAAATAACGGGGCCCACAACGGAACAGCTAGATCAGCCGAGCTGATGTACCGGCTCGAAAACGATGTCATCGTAGCCGACAAGCCGTTATATCATAAATCAGAACGAACGGGGTTAGAAAACAAGTGCATTTATTACTGGATTTTGACATTGAAAGGGGGCTGCATCATTGGACCACTGTAATATTATGGGCCGGGCTCAATTTTAGGCCCAAATTAATCTCTTTTTTTTAATTTTCTTTTTCTAATAACACAAGATTATTTATTATGTGCAAATTTTAGATGGCTAAATAATATTTTGGCATTGTTATGAAGAAACCAAAATCTTACTCTAATTATAGTTTTTTTTTACGAGAATAGTTACTGGTTCTTCAATTTCTATTCGAATAATTCGAATTCTTTACCAACTGCGTTAATTACGCGTCGAGTTTTTCAATTAAGTCAATAAGAGTTATTAGTAATTAGAAGAAAAAAAAAAGTGTTTGTTCTTTTATATTGTATAGACCACCGAAATAATGTGATTTATGAAGAAAAACTATAATAATATCATGACACACTGTCAAATCTTGAAACAAGAAGCCCCAACTCCCAAGCACTTTCCTCCACAATTAAATTATTTTTTTGGAGATTAAATTAAAATATATTAATTAATAACATGATTATTTTTAATTTTAAAAATGTTGCTATAATTGAAAAAAAAAAAAACATTAGCGTTGACACAAAATAAAATTAGTATGAATGAATAAATTTAAATTAATAGGGGGAGATGTTGAAAGGGTGACAAAAAAAGGAAACAGCAAAAGGAATTGAAATGGGAACCCATTCCAGTGAGCTGTACTTATGGGGTGCATGTGGGGAACCCTTTGTGTGCGTGCGTGCGTGTGCTTACTGTGCAAGTGTGCATTTTTCTTTTTCTTTTATTTAATTAATTAATTAGACTGTGTAATGTAAAATAATGTATCCGAGAAAAATAAAAAGAATATGTAAGAATAATTTATGATATAACTGGAAGAATAATTGAGTTGAGATGTCTTAAGAGACAAAATCCTAGGAGCAAGTTGCAAGTCCTATCTACTGTCCTTTTTAATTACACTAGTAGACTCGGTGGCGGAGCCAGTATAGGGTCGGGGGTCATGGCCCCCTCCTAATATTTGCCAATTTCGTATTAGTTTATGTAGAAAAGAAATTATGTATAATAGCATTAATTAACGGCGTAATTTAATGAGGATATCTTATATTTTTGTAGATTGTATGTTCAAAATTAGGTTGCGGATGGAAGAAAATAACAATTTAATTTGATATTTTGCTCTCTAAAAAATTAATACCACTAAAAACGAAGTTGCTCGGATCGTTAGGATTTAGAAAAAAAATTCAAGGTGCATTTGTCAATGATTTATTGTATTTCAAGGATGTAAAGTGATATTAAAACAAATTGGTGGGCGCATAGTGTGATTAAGGCAATGTTTGTGGCCCATATGTGATATGTCACTTTCTCATCTCTGATTTATAGAGCATCCCAAGTTTTTAGTGCTAAATAAGAATATGACCGCCACATATAATTTACCTGGCTATATAATGCCTCGATCAAATTTTAACTATATGTCATTTTCAACCTTATAAATTTACAATTAGTAGGAGACAAATATTTGACTAATGACCCCACAAATTTTGAGATCTAGAGAAACTTACCCTCATATTTTACTTAAATTACGGTTGTATAACGAGGTACGAGAGCGAGAGAGACGACAAGTAGGACCTCAGATACTACCCGTTATTCGAAAAATAATTAATGTTAGTATTATAATGGACTCAATACGCGTGACGATTAATTGTGGCTCGAATCACTCTCGAGCCGCCACACGCATAAACGTACATGATGTTTGATTATGACTCGACCCACTCTCAAGCCTAGCTCCACTAGACTCGGCCCAACTCAGTCCTCGATTACAATTGCTCTCACTTGAAATCGAACCCTTTTACATTGGCTAGGATAAAATCTATAGGAGTACCCCAAGCGCTACTAATCATCTTAAAACAAATTGCTGATATGAAAGACGCATAATTCAAATTTATAGTGCATTCAGCACATACATAACTAGCTGCCACGACATCAATATTTTTTTTTTATTACGGTTCGACCCACTCGATCAGGCCCCACTATGAGCCAATTTGTGACTCGACCCAACTCGAATCTCCACTATTATAAGACAATTGTTGCACACCATTTGAGTGTTGATTATTGGGAAGTAGTAGGGAACTTCCAAATTCAATGAAGACTATATTTTCTAGAATGAAATCTTGGAGTTCTATGATAATATGATTAAAAATAAGGGTAAATTCCACTTTACCCCCTTGTACTCTGCCCAAGAACCACTTTACCCCCTCGTACTCTTAATTTCGTCGATTTACCCCCTTGTACTTGTACAATTTCCCAATACAACCCTCTTCGTCAACTTTTTTCGATTTTGACTCTGACGCCATTTGGTCAAGAGTCAAAATATTGACGTAAATATTGAATTTTTTCGATTTTGACTCTCGAGATTAGAAAAGAGAAAGTTTCACACATTCATATATTTTTTTCTTTGCACTGGGTGGAATCGATCAATTTTTGGGTCTTGATTTTTACTAAGTTAGGGGTTCAATTTGGGGATATCTTGGAAGGGGAAGTGGTGGGAGAAGAAGAAATGACAATATTGACGGAGGAGAAACGACGCGTTATAGGCAGTGGCAATTTTGTAATTTACAGAGTTGACCAAATGGCGTTAGAGTCAAAATTGACAAAATTTGAAGGAAAAGGGCTGTATTGGGAAATTGTACAATTACAAGGGGGTAAACCGATAAAATTGAGAGTACGAGGGGGTAAAGTGACTCTTAGGCAGAGTACGAGGGGGTAAAGTGGAATTTACCCTAAAAATAAAAATAAAAATCATTTCAAATTCATGTGTTGTTGGTTTTGAGCCATGGAAATTGAAAATTAAATGGTCAAATGTCAATTAGATTTGCCATTGAATTTACTTTTGTTTCACAGTCAAAAAGTACTTAAGAGATAAAAGCTGGACACGAAAAGGTGATGATCAAAGATAAAAAGTTGAAACAATTTACTACAAAATTAAATAATAATAATTAAAAAAAATTAATTGTTATGATTAAACTATGATTAGCATAAACTATATAATAATCTTGTTTTTTCTGAACCTTTACAGAGCGCATGGCAAATGCATCAGCAGCCAAAAAGGAGGCTCTACCTCAGAGATATAAATGTTTTCAAGAAATCAACATTTTATTTAATTAATTAATTAATATAATTAAATAACTATAAATTTTGAATATGATTCTTGAAATTAAAAAAATGCCTCATTCTCTGAAATCTCATGCTCTTGATCTGCACAACTCCACTTCTTACAACCCCGCACCAGATGATAATATTTATTTATTATCTACAAAAATATAATATTACTATACAACAAATATTATATACATAAATAAATAGTAATTTCTTGCATATGTATATATATTTAAATAAACAAATAAAAACAAAGCTATCATTTTCATCCCTTGTTCTATATAAACATGTCCTCCAACCAACATTCATAACTAATTCACTCCTCAAATTGCTGTTTAAGGTATTATACATCATGTCAAATTATTTTCTTACAAGAAACTAAACTGTGTCTATACATGCATGTTTATATACTCTTTTTCATTTTTCTTTTATTATTTAATTTATTTATTTGGCATTTAATTTATTTCATATATGTGCAAGCAATTGAGCAAAGCAGTTAGTTACATGAATTTCTGCTTTTTGTCTCGAAAAAAGAGATGGACAAAAATTCAGCAGCTGAAACTGACGTTAGCATTTGCCTGTTTTTCCCTACTAGGGATTTTCAGTTTTCTTCATTACATACATCTTGCCCTGCTGCTGCCAGTACTCGATTCTTCTTCGATCTCATCATTCCCATTATATATATACACGATATATATATATCATATCATCTCCTGATTTCCATAGGCCACCTGCAATTTGATCCTTCAACCTGCAGGTATTGTTCTCTCTCTCTCTCTCTCTCTCTCTCTCTCTCTCTCTCTCTCTCTCTCTCTCTCTCTCTCTCTCTCTCTCTCTCTCTCTCTCTCTCTCTCTCTCTCTCTCTCTCTCTCTCTCTCTCTCTCTCTCTCTCTCTCTCTCTCTCTCATCTGTAATAACATTTGCAGAAAAATCAATAAGAAAAAATGGACGGTCTGGATTGGAGTAGGTACTACCATCACCAACAAATTGAAGAAACAAACTTGATCTCAAACAACATTTTTTACAGAGAGAATTTGAATATTCCGATTCAAAAAAGTACCGATTCATTCCCCAATCTCTTTTCACCGCAATGGAATAATATTAATAATAATAATTCAAGATTATCAACCGGTGGTACCACCACCACCAATTGGGCCGGGGGACCAGCCGCCATTAATGCAGGAGTAGGAGGAGGAGCTTTGAATAATTCTTACAACATTAATCCAACAAATAATAACATTGGCCTAATTCTCGATCCAGCTGGAAATTTGCCGATAATTCAAAGAAATAACGGTCGTGTTTTCGAGCCCGTGATTTCGACAAACACGGGCTCCATCGAATCGCTCGATTGCTTGCTGTCAGTATCCAACAGCCAAACTGAAGCCACGTCCGTTGAAGACGACGGCGTTTCGTTGCTTTTCTCCGACAGTAACAGAAGCTTCTGGAACTTCACCCCCACCGTCAAATCTGTTCCGCCGTCATCGGAAATATCGCCTCCGAAGATTAACGAGCCTAATAATCCTCCATTAAACAAGAAAAGAAGAGCGGAAGAAAGTCAACGACGGTCAACCTTTTCGGATCAGGCTTCTTTAAACCGGCGGAATAAAGCGCCGCCGGCCAAGAAGGGGAGGGTGGCGCTACTACACGATGATAATATTTATAGTATTAATTACAAGCGCGCCACGTCATCGTCGTCGAACATCAATTTCCAGCAGGCGAGTTCGTCGGCGTCGGCTTCGTCGTCGGCGGAGGAGCCGGATCCGGAGGCGATAGCGCAGATGAAGGAGATAATCTACAGGGCGGCGGCTTTCCGGCCGGTGGACTTCGGGGCGGAGGCGGCGGCGGAGAAGCCGAGGAGGAAGAACGTGAGGATATCGAACGACCCGCAGACGGTGGCGGCGCGGCAGCGGAGAGAGAGGATCAGCGAGAGGATTAGGGTTCTGCAGGGCCTTGTCCCCGGCGGCAGCAAGATGGACACGGCGTCGATGCTCGACGAGGCGGCGAGTTACCTGAAATTCCTCCGCTCTCAGGTGAAGGCGCTCGAAGAATTAGGGCAGAAGATCAACGATCAGACCGCCGTCAGCAACTACTACGCGAATCTCGCGTTCTCGCCATTCCTGAATAGCTACTCGTTCACCATGCAGAACCACCACCACCAACCGCCGCCGCCGCCGCCACAGTTCACCATCCACAGTCAGAATCCGGTCAACGGATCCAAGACTTGAGAAAATTAAATATTAATTATTAGTTTTTTTTTTTTAATTTAATCCTGATTTTGTGATGGAATTGTACCTTTTTTGACATAAAATGATTTCTAATTTAATTAACTCTGACTTTTTTTATTTTTCTTTTTAAATTTGTAATGATAGTCATCATCATTAGATCATCGTGTTGTTTTGTAGCTTTTGGAAAAAAAATGCAATTTTAATTTATCTTCTCTCTCTCTAAAAAGTTGAAGATCTAATTATATTAATTATGAACTCATTATTGCTTGCTTTATTCTTTCCATTATTAAGTGATATTGTATCTTTAATCATGACTATAATCATTAATGTAACACCACAAAAGTGGATTATTCCTCCATTTAATTTTTACCTTTAATTATTACTTTTATTATTTTATGGTAAATTACGGTCAACCCCTGAAGTAATGTCAAATTATGAAAAGACCCCTTTTGTTTGGTAATTACATTTATCCTGCAATTATGTATTGTTTTACGAAAAAATCCTTCTTTCAGTAGGTAAATTTGACACCGTAAGAGTGGACGTGTAAGATAATACATGATTGACGGGTGGCTGTAAGAGATGTTTTTTTTGTAATTTGACCTTACTTCAGAGATTTGACTGTAATTTACCCATCATTTTACATATATTTTCCCTAAGCCTTTAATTACAGCCAAATAATTAAGTTAATGTATATAAGAGGATGCCTACATTATAATAATTGGAAATTTTCATTCTTTAAATTCTTTTTGTTTTTAATGAATAAAAATACCGGAATAAAATACTCCATTTGTCCCATATTATTTGTCACACTAGAATTTCAAGAAATCATTAATTGCATTTTTTTTCAATTTTCCCCGTCATCGCTCGTAATTAGTTAGCTGAAAAACAATTAATGACAAATGTATTTTAGTATATACTATATTATTTTACTATACTCTATTGTGAGCAACCAAAAAAAATGACATATAAATATGGGACCGAAGAAATATTAATTATAGCAGATATGATTAGGTTAATAAAGGACAAGGAAAGTGATTACATAACTCTAATAACTACTAATAATAATCAGTTCAACACTTCAACTTGAATAGACTAATCAAGTCTTTTTGTAGTGAAGGTCGTTTTCTTTTCTTGGAGATCTTAATTAAATAATTAATTAATTAATTAACTTAATTAAGAATGTGATTATAATTAATAATAATAATGAAGATTAATGAATAAAGAAAGTAGGCAAAAACATTCTCTTAATCCGAGTGCATTATTAGTCAGTGGTCCTGTCTCCTTGATTCAATCCAAGGCGTGGCCCTTGAAACTCACCCTCACCCAAACAAAACCTTAATGCTAAGCACATGTTTTATTCTTCTTTTTTGTCTTTTTTTTTTTAATTAATTAATTAATTGTTTTTATTTTTATTTTTTTGGGTTTGTTATTTTGGACGCACTTGCCTACTTGCACGTGCATTTGTCTAGTGTTAGTGTGTTACAAAAATTATGTCATGATATTATTATTTAGGTCATGGATTAAAAGGACATTAATCAAATGAGGGAAAAATTATAAATTATTCTTGATTTTTATTTTTTATTTATCATGGATTTGGTTTAATCTAACTATATTATGGCTACCTAACTTTTTTCTATGTTACATTTGGTTAAATGCGTCGGATATTTTCCACATTTGACGGAGGGGCGTACCTATGGGTATGCTAAGGGTGGCACCAGCCCCTCGAAATTTTTTTATTCGTTATTTATGTATTAGTTAATGCACTTTCGCCCCCCAAACTTTCAATTTTATACACTTTATTCTATAAAAAAAATCTCTTAAATCAACTCGATATTTTAGTCTCGAAAGAAAAAAAATCCCTGAGTTCGCCCCTGCATATACGCATGTGAATGTATGTAGAATGTGTTATAAATTATAATACATGCGTATAGTAAGATATAACTCTGTGAGATTCACCGTGTGCAACTACTATATAGTTAGATACGGCTACTTGTATTTATGAATTTATCCTATTTATTTTATTTTAGTTATTGAAACTATATTGGTTGTCAAGATTTGCAACTTGTTATTTGACAATCACAATCTTCACAGTCAAAACCGTAAGATTTTTAGCAACAAACATTGAGCCCATTTTTTGGACTACATTTGCAACTTGATTCTTATCATTTATATATATTTTGCATTATCTTTTCTTTTACCCAATTTCTTGGTCCTATACAGTTTGTTGACAGCCCCAAATATGATAAAGTCAACTTTCATTTAATCATTCTAAAGACTTTCAAAATTATTTGGAATATTTTTAGATTGTATTTATTTCTTATTTCAAAATCACCAATACAATCTCTGGTTCGATGTACTTAGTGAATGGTTATTTAATTAACTAAGTGTAAATAACCAAGTGTAACATCTATTTATCCGTAGAGATTACAGTTTCTAAATTGCAATAGTTTCTACAATTTGTGAAGTAATTTCCTAATATTGTGCTTATGTTGAACCATTTTATTTTATTTTATTTTTCCCAATTTTTTTTTTTTTTGAGTAAATGCATGTCTTGTCCCAATGTCATATTTATTATTTATCATTGAAATAAGGGTAAATTACAACCACCCCTGAGGTATGGTCAAATTCGAAAACCCCCCTCCTGTTTGGGTAATTACAACCACCCCCTCAACTATAAATTTTCTTACATGTCCACCCTTGCAGTTTCAAATTAAGTGGCATCTTCGAAATTATATAGAATATTATCACTTTTGTACCCGCTTTATCCCTTTCGAACTCTGCATTTTGAAGCAAGATGATCATAATATGTTTTTTTCGGCTTGTATATATCTAATTGTGGTGCATCAGAAACTGTATTTTTACATAAAACGAGTACAAACTTGAGTATATTCCACGAAATCTGGATGATTATGTTGAATTTGACATCATAAGAGTAGAAGTGTAAAAAAAAACATAGTTAAGGGGTAGATATAATTATCCAAACAAGAGGATTTTTTTGTAAATTGACCATACATCAGCGGTGGTTGTAATTAGGGGTGGCAATTTCTCAACTTGAACCGGATCCGATCTGGATCCATGTGGATCGGATTCAAAAGGATCCGGATCCAATATCAACCTATATGAATAGATTTAATGTGGATCGAATTTAGACCGATCCGGATTGGATCCACATGGATCCATTTCATTTTTAATTCAACTTATGAGGTTGAATATCTCAACTTTTAGGATTTAATATCTCAATTTATGTAGTTTAATATCTCAACTTTTAGGATTTAATATCTCAATTTATGTGGTTTAATATCTAAACTTTCAAACTCACACATATTCACACACACTTTTTCATACACACTCTCACACACACGCACAC